ATGCATGCTAAGCAAGCACTCTACCAATAAGCCACATTTCTAGCTGGTGCCAGTACTGGGGCTTGAACTCAGAGCCTTGGCATTGTTCCTGAATTTGAGCCACACTTCCACTTCTGGCTTTCTGCTAGTTAATTGGAAATAAGAGTCTCATAGACTTTACTGCCAGACTGGCTTTGAAGTGTGATCCTCAAATAGCCACCTGAGTAGCTAGGATTATCGACATGAACCATTGGTGCTCAGTTCTAGCTAACATTTTAACTAAGTGATTAAAAAGCTTTTCATCTTGCAAAACCAAGTTCAATATGCTTTAAGCAACAATTCTCTATGCCCTTCTCACTCCTATTCTGCTTCAAAAAAAAAACTGAGAGTCCTATGAATTGACTCTATTACCTGCTAGATTTAAGCTAAAGAGCTCAAGAACAGTGAGTGTCCAGGTCCAGAGTTCAAGCCCCATAACTGACAGGAAAAGATCTTTCTCCTTTTTATTTATTTTTTATTTTTTTTGGGTCCGGTTATGGGGCCTGAACTCTGGGCCTGGGCACTGTCCCTCAGCTCTTCAGCTCAAGGCTAGCACTCTACCACTTGAGCCACAGTGCCACTTCCGGCTTTTTTCTTTTTGCTTATGTGGTGCTGGGGAATCGAACCCAGGGCCTCAGGCATGCAAGGCAAGCGCTCTACCACTGAGCCACCTTCCCAGCCCCTCTTTCTCCTTTTTAAACCAACAAACAAATAATAGCAAGATTAAGATACTTGAGTTAGAGGGGCTGGGAAGGTGGCTCAGTGGTAGAGCGCTTGCCTTGCATGCATGAGGCCCTGGGTTCGATTCCCCAGCACCACATAAGCAAAAAGAAAAAAAAGCCGGAAGTGGCGCTGTGGCTCAAATGGTAGAGCGCTAGCCTTGAGCTGAAGAGCTGAAGGACAGCGCCCAGGCCCAGAGTTCAGGCCCCACGACTGGACCCAAAAAAAAGAAAAAAGATACTTGAGTTAGAAGCCAGGTGCAGGTGGCTCACACCTGTAACCCTAGCTACTCAGAAGGCTGAGATCTGAGGATCAAGATTCAAAGCCAGCCCAGGCAGGAAAGTCCATGAGACTCTTACTCAAATTAACCGCCAGAAAATGGGAAGTAGTGCTGGGCTCTAAGCAGTAGCCTTGAGCTGAAGAGCTCAGGGGCAATGCCCTGGCCCCATGACTGACAAAAAACCCCCAAGATACTTGAGTTAGAATTGCTCTGTGTGTGTGTGTGTGTGTGTGTGTGTGTGTGTGTGTGTGTGTGTGTGTGTGTGTGTTGGGGCTTGAATTCAGGGTTTTATGATCTCACTTGGATTTTTCACCCTGAAAGACCAAAAATAAGTTTAGCAGTAATCTCGGTCAAAACTAAAACATTTTTCATCTGTTATTGGAAAGTAAGTTAGATCCTGCACCAAGACAAGATAACAGTAAGGACTATTAAGGGATCAGGCTGTTCTGACCAGTCCAGGAATTTGGGCAGTCTCTCCCCCCAACTCTGTCGGGGGAAACATTTAGGACAAGATATAATTCAGCATTCCTGTGGTTAGCCCCACTTATCCAACCAATGATGTATAATTTAACCTATCCTGTAACTGCTAAGCTAGAAAGTCCCCTGCCCTTACTGGAAATGATCATACCCCTAACCAATGAGCTTGAGACATCCTTCCCCCTGCTACGTACCCAATAAAAACCCTTCTGGACAAGGGGTCGGGGCTCACAATTTCTGACCTGCTGCATCAGGGAGGATTTGTGAGATAAGCTCGAGCTGTAATAAATGACTCTCCTGCATTTACATCAGCGATGGCTCCCTGGTGGTCTTTGGGGTGAGGGGGGGGGGGTCTGTGGACTGGTACTACATCATGGGGGCTCATCCGGGATCCTGCAGACTCAGGGACCCTGAACTGGAGAGTCAGATACCGATTGGTGAGTCTCGTTAGTCTAATTTGTCTGTATGTTGTGTTAACTGTTCTGTTTAAGAGGCTTGAAATCTGTAACTCTGAATAGGCTGACACCTAGGCAGACACACTAGTAGGTGCTAGCCGGCTGTAGGTTCTAGAAGACGTTCCAGGCCCTTCTGGAGGGGTATAAGCCCCCTCAATCTGCAGGACTATAAACCTCCTCAATCTGGAGGGGTATCAGCCCCCTCCATCTGGAGAGGCATGAGCCCCTCAATCTGGAAGAGCAGGAGCGTGGGCTTCCTGCTCTGAGAATTCTGACAGGAGGAAGAGGGTAGCTACTCCGGGCTGGCTTGGAGCTGGTGTCCTGGTTTCAGATTTGCCTCCCATCGACAGGAGGAATTTGTTTATCTTTTTGTGTGTCAGTTTTGCTTTTGTGTCTGTCGGTTACTATTTATTTCTGTGAGACTATTTCTGTGTGATGGACGATACAGAACAGACTCAAACCACCCCCCTTTCACTTTTGACTGACCATTTTAAAGAGGTTAAAAGGAGAGGACAGGACTTAAGTGTGGAGGTCAGAAAAGGGAAACTAATTACATTCTATAGTGCCGAGTGGCTCCAGCAAGATCTTAGCGTGTCTGAGCATGGGGAAGAATCTGCCAGTCTGAGGGGACCACAGCTAGGGACTCATATCCCGTGCCCCGAAATGACTGGGAATTCTCCTCCACCCGGGAAGGCCCCTGGGTCAACGTTTGTAGGAATCTATAAAAGAAAAATCCCATTAGTCCCCAACTCAGCCTTTAGTTGTCTTGTTCTGTTTTAGAATTGGTACCAGTTTTAAATGTGAATCCTTGGTTTTTGTGGTTATTTGTGTTTTTGTTATTTATTTGAACATCTCTGGGGAAATAAAAGTCCCAGCCTCTGGCTGGGCTCAGTCACAGACCTGCTAAGTGCCATAGGGAATGACTTCTTAGTCTTTGATCAAAAGTGGATGGGATGGGCTGGGAAGGTGGCTCAGTGGTAGAGTGCTTGCCTTACATGCATGAGGCCCTGGGTTCGATTCCTCAGCACCACATAAGCCAAAAAGGCCACAAGTGGCTCTGTGGCTCAAATGGTAGAGTGCTAGCCTTGAACTGAAGAGCTGAGGGATAGCACCCAGGCCCAGAGTTCAAGCCCCACGACCGACACACACACACACACACACACACACAAAAGTGGGTGGGGGCCAGGCACCAGTGTCTCACTCTAATTACTAAAATAAGCCAGACCTGGAGCTGTGGCTCAAGTGTTAGAATGTCCTGGGACAGTACCCTGGCCCTGAGTTCAAGCTCCAGGTGAAGTAAGGAGGTCAGGTCTGGCTGGTGCCATATTGGCCACATGGTGGATTGTAGGGTCTGGCATCTTGTCTTCATGCTGGGGGAAGAAAACCCCTGCCCATCATCTGCTTCACAGGTAATGATCATGCCTGGATCCCTGGAGACAGGGGCAGGCACTTGGCTGATGGTTTACTGAATCTGTGTCCAGTGCCTGGGACTGGGAATTTCCTGAGGATCTGCCCTCTGCACTGGCACTTTGTGTCTCTGTGATTGCATCTCCTGGCTTGTCTCCAGTCATCATGGTGTCCCAATTCAGGTCTCCATTGGAGCTTAGTTGGCTTGTTGGTATTGTTTTTGTTTCTTTCCCCGTTAGCCATGTTTCCTAGCTGTGTTATGTGCATTTGCGTGCTCAGGTCTTTGTAACAACTGGCTTTGTGCAGCCTGTTAACTGTATAATAATAAACACTGCAATATGCTATATTTCAAAATGAGGCTTCTGGGATGATTCATCTTACAATGTGTGGCACCCCCACCTGACCTCCTTACTTCATAGGATCATGTGTGTGCGCACAGTGTCAAAGCTTATGTTCAATGCACTTCTTTCTTCAAGTGCGTGGAAGTCAAAATAAGCTTGGTTTCCTGAGGCAGATTTTATTTTTTATTTTTTTGGGCCGTTATGGGGCTTGAACTCAGAGCCTGGGTGCTGTCTGAAAGGAATCCTTTACATCCATCCCAGGAGATCATGCAGAGGCAGACAGGCACAGGAGAAAGATTATTACAAGGTTTATTGGAGGGGCCATATCTCCTGGGAATGGGAGCACATGGCATCAGTCCCTATTCAGGTAGCAGGAGGATCTGGGTGGGTGCTCAGGCAGGTCTGAGTGGGGAGAGGGAGTGACCAGCTGTATGGCCCAGAGCTGGGAGAAGAAGCTCAGGTCTGGGTGGAGCTAAGAACTAAAAGTGGCATAATGCTGACACTCTCACTGAGCTCTTTTTGCTTAAGGCTACCACTCTGCCATGTGGAACCGCACTTCTGGTTGTCTGGTGGTTAGCTGGAGATCAGAATTTCAAGAACTTTCCTGCCCTGAAACAGTGATCCTCAGATCTCAGCTTCCTGAGTAGCTAGGTTTACAGATGTGAGCCACCAGCACTTGGCTCTTACTCAGACTTTGTAGATTCTGTTACAAAACGTCTCCACTTTGTTTACCCATCCCAATTAGCCTCAGAGCTTTAAAACCAAGAAGTCGTTGCCAGGTATCAGTTGGCTCATGCCTATATTCCTAGCTACTCAGGAGGCTGAAAATTGAGAATCATAGTGGGAAGTTAGGCTGGGCAAGAAAGGTCAGGAGACTCTAACTCAGACAGAAGAGCCACCAAAAAGGCCAGAAGTAGAGTTGTGGCTCAAATGGTAGAATACATAGCCTTGAGTAAAAAAGTTCAGGGACAGTAGGAAGGCTCTGAATTCAAGCCTCAGGACAAGAGCCAAAAACAAACTGTGAAGACAAAGTGCCTTGACTTTGACCATGATGACAAAATATCTCTATTTGCCAAGATGACTTGTTACATAATTATACAGGTGCTAGGGCCCTCACGTATGTTTTGCATGATAACATTGCCTAACAGTTTTTTTCTGGTGTCAGGTTCATTGCCTTTCTGAATCCTCAAACCTGAAAGACTAGTTTTGATAAGCATATTCAGGTACAGACCTGAACCATGGGTGAGCACATCTTCCCACAGATAGAAAAAGGACAACACCAGATCCCACATTACCCAGAACAGCAGGGGACAGGAGGGAGCCTTGCAGAGTCTCACAATTGCTTGTGAGGTTCCATGAAGAGAACTGCTTTTATCCTGGGCTCTGGGCTCCTCTTGTTTGTGGCCTTCTGGAATTCGGTCCCATGGTAAGTTTGCTCTCCCCACCTCAAAGCTAGGACCTGGGAGCCATAGGGTGAGACCACAGGGCCATCAATCCATGCTCACCTGGAATGTTGAATGGTTTTTATTTCCTATTTCTTTTTGTGGGGAGTGGGTAATGGGTGCTGGTCCTAGAGCTTGAACTCTGGGCCTGGGTGCTGTCCCTGCACTCTTCAGCTCAAGGTGAGCGCTCTACCACTTTAGCCACAGCACCATTTCTGGTTTTCTGGTGGTTTATTGGAGGTAAGAGTCTCATGGACTTTCCTGCCCCTGCTAGCTTTGAAGTATGACCCTGGGATCTTAGCCACCTGAGTAGCTAGGATGACAAGTGTGAGCCACTGGCACGTAGCTTGAATGTTGTTTTCTTTCAAGGCATCTTCAGAGATTTTGGGGTGCTTCTGGCTACTTTTGGCAAGCCCAATGGGAGAGAATACTGTCCACATTTGGAGACAAAGAGCTGATCCTCTTCTTTACAGGTGAGATTTCCTGTATGGAGTATTAAGGTACCTAATTCTAGCTTTATTCTGTTTGTGCTGTAATGGGACTTGAACTTAGAACCTTGCACTCTCACTGTTCACTCCCAGCTGAAGTTCTACTTCTTTTTTTTTTTTTTTTTTGTCGGTCGTGGGGCTTGAACTCTGGGCCTGGGCGCTGTCCCTTAGCTCTTCAGCTCAAGGCAAGCGCGCTACCACTTGAGCTACAGCGCCACTTCCGGTTTTCTGGTGGTTTATTAGAGATAGGAGTCTCACGGTCTCTCCTGCCCGGGCTGGCTTTGAACCGCGATCCTCAGATCTCAGCCTCCTGAGTAGCTAGGATTACAGGCGTGAGCCACCAGCGCCCGGCTGAAGTTCTACTTCTTGAACCACACTTCCAGATTAGGTTTTATGCTAGCTATTTTTTTTTGGGGGGGTGGGGCCCGATCATGGGGCCTGAACTCTGGGCCTGGGCGCTGTCCCTCAGCATCTCAGCTCAAGGCTAATGCTCTACCACTTGAGCCACAGTGCCACTTTCAGCTTTTTTTCTTTTTGCTTATGTGGTGCTGAGGAATCAAACCCAGGGCCTCAGGCATGCAAGGCAAGCACTCTACCACTGAGCCACCTTCCCAGCCCTTTTACTAGTTATTTTATTTATTTTTTGGGGGGTCTGATTGAGGGGCCTGAACTCTGGACCTGGGTGCTGTTCCTCAGCTCTTCAGCTCAAGGCTAGCACTCTCCCACTTGAGCCACAGCGCCAATTCTGGCTTTTTCTGCTTATGTGGTGCTGAGGAATCAAACCCAGGGCCTCATGCATGCAAGGCAAGTGCTCTACCACTGAGCCACCCTCCCAGCCCCCCTTATGCTAGTTATTAGAGCTAGAGTTTCTTTACTTTTCTGCTTCGGCTGGCTTTGAATCATGATCCTCAGATCTCAGCTTTCTGAGTAGTAGCTACGATGATAGGTATGGGCCATCAGCTTCCAGCTCTAGTTTCATTCTTTTTATTGTTGTTGGTGGTGGTCTTGGGGCTTGAACTCTGGGCCTGGGTGCTGTCCTTTAGCTCTTCAGCTCAAGGCTAGTGTTCTACCACTTGGGCCACAATGCTACTTCGCATTTTCTGGTGTTTTGTTTGTTTGTTTTAATTGGAGATAAGAGTCTCATGGACTTTCCTACCCAGTCTGGCTTTGAACCATGATCCTCAGATCTCAGTGTCCTTAGTAAGTAGGATTATAGGTGTGAGACACTGATGCTCAGCTAGTTTCATTTTTCTATTCTTCTTCTTGTTTAGTGGGTTGTGGAGTTTAAATTCAAGGCCTGGGAATTGTCCTTCAGCTTTGGTGCTCAAGACTAGCACTCTACCACTCTAAGTACAGCTCCATTTCTAGTTTTTTGGTGCTTAATTGGACTGTCACAGACTTTCCTTCCCAGGCTGGCTTTGAACCTTGATCACTGAGAGGTAGAACTACAGGCATGAGCCACTGGTACCTGGCTCTCAGTTTTGTTTAGTTTTTCTTTTGTCAGTCGTGGGCTTGAACTCAGGCCTGGGTGCTGTCCCTGAGCTCTTTAGCTCAATGCCAGCACTCTGTCACTTTGAGCCACAGCTCCACGTCCAGTTTTTGAGTGATTAATTGGAGATAAGAGTGTCCTGGAGATTTTTCTGTCTGAGCTGGCTTTGAATCAAAATCCTCAGATCTCAGGGCTGGGAAGGTGGCTCAGTGGTAGAGCGCTTGCCTTGCATGCACGAGGCCCTGGGTTCGATTCCTCAGTACCACATAAGCAAAAAGGAAAAAAAAACAGAAGTGGCGCTGTGGCTCAAGTGGTAGAGCGCTAGCCTTGAGCTGAAGAGCTGAGGGACAGCACCCAGGCCCAGAGTTCAGGCCCCACAACCGGACCCCCTCCCCCCCCCCAAAAAAAAAATCCTCAGATCTTAGCCTCCTAAGTAACTAGGATTACAGGCATGAGTCACTGGCACGCGGCTCTCATTTTCTTTTTTTTACCTCCAGCTATTATCAAATTGCCCTCTAGAATTTTTTTTTTTTTTTGGCCTGGACACTGTCCCTGAGCTTCTTTTGCTCAAGGCTAGCATTTTCCACTTGAGCCACAGCACCAATTCTAGCCTTTTCTACTTATGTGGTGCTGAAGAATGGAACCCAGGGCTTTGTGCATGTTAGGCAAGCACTCATTCCCAGCCCGCCCTCTAGATTGTTTGCAAATTGAATTTCCCCACAGTGTCACAAGTCTTTCATATCTCCTGTACCAGCAGGCTCTGTGGTGACAGGGCAGGAAAATAGGTAACAAATGGTTTCAGAGGTTGAGTTTAAGTTTGTCCTGCCCTTCAATATTTTGAACCTTGAGAAGAAGCAAAATATGGACCAAGTTAACAATTTAGGTGTTAGATAACACCATAGTGTTGAATAACTAGCTGCTAACTGGAGGGGACTAATTATTGTTCACTAACAGTAAGAAATCAGGGAGAGTTAGAATGAATTTATAGAAGAATGGGAAGTAGAACAAAAGGATAAATCTAAATGTTAAGTCATGTGTTTGTGTGTATGTGTGTGCCAGTACTGGGCCTTGAACTTGGGCTAGATGTTGTCTTAGAGCTCAAGGCCAGCACTCTATCACGGTGAGCCACAGTACCACTTCTGGTTTTGTAGTGATTAATTGGAAATAAGAATCTCATGGATTTTCCTGCCCAGGCTGACTTCTATGTGTCATTCTCAGATCTCAGCTTCCTGAGTAGCTAGCTCAGTTTACTGAGCCATTAGTGCTCAGATTTTTTTCTCTTTCATTTCTTTTCTTTTTTCTCTTTTCCTTTCTTCCTTCCTTCCTTCCTTCCTTCCTTCCTTCCTTCCTTTCTTCCTTTTTTTGTTGGTTGTGGGGCTTGAACACAGGGCCTGGGTGCTGTCCCTGAGCTTTTCTGCTCAAGGCTAGCACTCTGCCAGTGGAGACACAGTGCCACTTCCAGCTTTTTCTGTTTATATGAAACTGAGGAATTGAACCCAGGGTTTCATGCATGCTAGGCAAGCACTCTACCAATGAGCCAATTCTCAGCCCTCAACACTCTTTTATATATCTATTTGTCCATAACACCCTTGAAGATTGCTGTCCCAATTTTATGACTAAGAATATAATAAAGAGGCTAGGTGCTGGTGGCTCATGCCTGTAATCCTAGCTACTCAGGAGGCTCAGATCTGAGGATTGCGGTTCAAAGCCAGCCTGGGCAGGAAAGTCCGTGAGACGCTTATCTCCAATAAACCACTCAGAAAACCTGAAGTGGCGAAGTGGCTCAAGTGGTAGAGTGCTAGCCTTGAGCTGAAAAGCTGAAGGACAGTGTTTAGGCACAGATTTCAAGCCCCATGACCGATAAAAAAAAAAGAAAACAAGTAAGAGTTGGGCATGGTGCCACATACCTATAATCCCAGCACTTTGGGTGGCTGAGGCAGGAAGATCATGAATTCCAGACCAACCTGAGCAAAAAAAAAAAAAAAATACAGACACTATTTAAGTGAAATGTCTATGTGCCAACAGCTAGAATGTTACTCAAGACTAAAGGCAGGACTGGGAATGTGGCTTAGTGGTAAAGTGCTTGCCTAGCATGCATGAAGCTTTGGGTTCAATTCCTCAATACCACATACACAGAAAAAGCTAGAAATGACGCTGTGGCTAAAGTAGTAGAGTGCTAACCTTGAACAAAAAGCCCAGGCCCTGATTCAAGCTCAGGATTGGAAATATATATATATATATAGAGTAAGGCTGGGCACTGGTGGTTCACACTTGTAATCCTAGCTACTCAGGTGGCTGGGATCTGACAATCACAATTTGAAGCCAGCCTGGGCAGTAAAGTCCATGGGAATTATCTTCAATAGCCACCAAAAAGCCAAAAGTGGACCTGTGGCCCAAGTGGTAGAGTGCTAGCCTTGAGCAAAAAGCCCAGGTTCTGCATTCAAGCCCCAGGACTGGCACCCAATAATAACAACAAAAAGGTTAAAGGTAAGACCTTGGCTTTAAGCATTAATACCTCCCTGGACAAGGGATAATCTTGTAAAGTATGTTTAATACATGAGCTGTGAAAACCTGGAGCTGCTTGATTCTTCCCTTCTCTCCATCCTCAGGGTCCGGCCTCATACCCGCACTGATCTTCTGGGCCTTCAGTGGGATCCTATTGGTGGTGGACACAACTGGAAAACTGAATTTCATCTCCCGCTACCGGATTCAAGTTGGCAAGAATGAACCTGTAAGTGTCACTATGGTTCCTGTAGGTCAGAGCCCAGAAAGTAGAAGCTAAGAATCATTGCCTCTGGCTCAGGGACCACAGTCAATTGGAGCCAAATAGCTTTCTCCAAGGCTCCTTCAATTTAGAAGATTAGAGAGAGGAAGCTAGGAATCCTAGCTACTTAGGAGGCTGATATGTGAAGATCAAGGGTCGAAGCCAGCCCAAGTGCACACACCACTCAGCTACAGGCCAGTCTAAAGCAATGTCCTGGTCCCCCAACTCCCATCCTAGGTTCTGTGCCATCCAGAGCTGCTACACAAAATGGTGTGGTCATATTAGAAATGCTGGGCACTGGCAACTCAGACCTGTAATCTTAGCTACTCAGGAGGCTGAGATCTGAGGATCGTAGTTCTTGCCTAGGCAGGAAAGTCCATGGGACTCTTATCTCCAATTGGCCACCAAAAAGAGCCACAAGTAGAACTGTGGCTCACGTGGTAGAGTGCTAGTCTCGAGCAAAACAAAGCTCAAGGACAGCACCCAAGCCCTGAGATCAAGTCCTAGGATCAGAACAAAAGAATGGGAGGATATAGGTGCTATGTGTAGAACCAAGAGGAAGGCAGGCTCAGACAGAGAATGAAGGCTGCTAGGGGCAGTTTCCAAGAGCAGGAACATTACAAAGGTGCCAATGGCCATAACTGTACCCAGAGCTGGGTGGCAGTCAGCAGCTGCAAGCTATGCCAAGTCATCTCTCCCAGAATCCATCCTTGAATAGATCTTCTTTTCCAGAAAGAAAAGATCTACTCTTTTTTTTTTTTTTTTTGTATGTGCCAGTCTTGGGGCTTGAACTCAGGGCCTGAGCATTGTCCCGGAGCTTCTTTTTGTTCAAGGCTAGCACTTCTACTGCTTGAGCCACAGCTCCACTTTTGGTAGTTAATTGGAGATAAGGGTATTACAGACTTTCCTGCCTGGGCTGGCTTTGAACTGTGACTCTCAGATCTCAGCCTCCTGAATAGCTACTGGTGCCTGACAAAGATCGACTTCTCACACATCTTCTTTTCTTCCCTCTGGCAGGTGGACCCTGTGAAACTACGTCAGTCTATCTACACAATTCTTTTCAATCAATATGTGATCACTTGCCCTATGCTGGTCGCCCTCTATCTCTTGCTCAAATTGTGGGCAGACCCCTGCCACCGAGAGCTACCCACTTTCTACCGGTTCCTCCAGGAACTGGCAGTCTTCATCATAATAGAGGAAGTTCTGTTCTATTACTCACACCGGTAAGCACAGCTGGTACCTTGCCCTGCTCACCTTGCCCGACTGCTCACCAATCCACAGGAAATCTGTGGCCTCTGAACTGTAATTCAACATCTTCTAGCCTCAAGTCTTCCACTAAATGGTTTATGGGAAGACAATTATATATCTAATAACTGACAACCTGAGACAATTAACCAATGTCCAGAAAAGAAAACAGCTTCGCTAGGTGCCTTGGGGTTCATGCCTGTTATCCTAACTACTCAGGTGGCTCAGATCTGAGGATCCTGCTTTGAAGCAAGCCCAGGCAAAAAAGTCTATGAGACTCTTATCTCTAATTAGCCACCAGAAAACTCTAAGTGGTAGAGTGCTAGCCTTAAGCAGAAAAGCTCAAGGACAAAGCCAAGTGCTGGTGGCTCATGCCTGTAATCCTAGCTTCTGAGGAGGCTAAGATTTGAGGATCACAGTTCAAAACCAGCACAGGCAGGAAAGTCTGTGAAACTCTTATCTCCAATAATAAAAAAAAAACAACCCACCATAAAATGGGAAGTGGTGCTGTAGCTCAAGTGGTAGAGCTCTCCTTGAGCTGAAGAGCTGAGGGGCAGCGCCCAGGCTCAGAGTTCAAGCCCCACAACTGACAAAAAGAAAAAGAAAAAGAAAAGCTCAAAGACAGTGCCAAGACCCTGAGATCAAGCCCCATAACTGACCAAATAACAACAACAACAAACCAAAACAAAAAAGTAATTTCTCCATTTGTGTGGGAGGAGGGGAAGTCTCTCATTTATTTCCTTATTCTGCACATGACTCCTATTTCACAGCTGCTATATAGTATTTTATTTAATTTTAATTTTTTGAGGGTCCGGTCGTGGGGTCTGAACCTGGGCCTGGGCGCTGTCCCTCAGCTCTTCAGCTCAAGGCTAGTGCTCTACCACTTGAGCCACAGCGCCACTTCTGGCTTTTTTCTTTTTGCTTATGTGGTGCTGAGGAATCGAACCCAGGGCCTCAGGCAAGCAAGGCAAGCGCTCTACCACTGAGCCACCTTCCCAGCCCTTCTATATAGTATTTTAGAGACGTAAAGTTATTTACCTCAAGGTACATAGCCTAAGGGTGGGGTCCAAATGGGAGAGCTAGAGTGAACACCAAACAAATGGGTTTTAAATGTTCCACAAAAGCCAGGTATAGTGGCTGAATGCTTGTAATCTTAGCTACTCAGAAAGCTGAGCTCTGGGGCTGGGAAGGTGGCTCAGTGGTAGAGTGCTTGCCTTGCATGCATGAAGCCCTGGGTTCGATTCCTCAGCACCACATAAGCAGAAAAGGCCGGAAGTGGCGCTATGGCTCAAGTGGTAGAGTGCTAGCCTTGAGCTGAAGAGCTCAGGGACAGTGCCCAGGCCCAGAGTTCTGGCCCCATGACTGGCAAAAAAAAAAAAAAAGAAAGCTGAGCTCTGAGGATCATGGTTCAAAGCCAACCCCAGGCAGAAAAGTCATGAGACTTTTATCTCCAATTAGCCAGCAAAATTTGGAAATGGAGCTATAACTATAGCTATAGCTCAAATGGTAGAGCTAGAAAAAGCCAAGTGACAGCAGGAGGCCCTGAGCGCAAGCCCCAGGGCTGGCACACACACACATTCCACACATGTAATTTGTTTATTTGTTTTTTATTCTTGTGTGCCAGTCCTGGGGCTTGCACTCAGGGCCTCATGCTCTCACTTGGCTTTTTCAGTCAAGGCTGGTGCTCTACCATTTGAGCCATACCCCTACTTCAGACTTTTTTTTTGCTGGTTAAAGAGTCTCATGGACTTTTTCTGCCTGTGATAGCTTTGAATATTGCTCTTCATAACTCATCCTCCTGAGAAGTTAGGATTACAGGTGTGAGCCACCAGCATCTAGATACCTTTTATTTTTTTGGGGGGGGGTAAAAATACTGTACAGAGGGGTTATAGTTACACAAGCAAGGTAATGAGTATATTTCTTTTGTTGTTGTTGTTGGTCCTGGGGCTTGAACTCAGGGCTTGGGCGCTATCCCTTAGCTTTTCAGCTCAAGGTGAGTGCTCTACCGCTTGAGCTACAGCACCACTTCTGGTTTTCTAATGCTTTATTGGAGATGAGTCTCATGGACTTTCCTGGCTGGCTTTGAACTGTGATCCTCAGATCTCAGACTCCTGAGTGGCTAGGATTACAGGCATGAGCCACTGGTGCCCAGCTATGAGTACATTTCTTATCAAGCATTGTTGCCTCCTCCTTTGTTTCCCCCCTACCATCCCTTCCCTCCCACCTCCACAACTACCCCCAGACCCTCCCCCCCCGCAATTTGTAAAGTTTGTTTTCAACATCGTGTCTTGTACATCTCATTGTTACAATGGGTCAACCTGTATCCCAATTTAAGCATTTTGTTTTTTCCCTTCCCCTCCCCGAATTAGAGAAGTGTATATATAAGATGCAGGGCACCAACAGGGGTTATACTGTGGGTGAGGAACATACAAAGAAACAAAAAAATCATATTGTACACTATAAATACGTTAGAAACAACAGCAAGAAAGAAAAAAAAAGTATTTGTGTCCCGTTCTTGGGGTTCGTTTCGTTTAGCATCATCTTATCTGGTCATATGTACATAGCTTTTGACCTTTTCTCCTTGTCCTACACGTGTACTAGTTATTGTAAATAAGAGAACCCATGGGTAGAGAGCTTTGATTTTTGAATCAGGGAGGCTGAAAGAGTAATCTGCAGATTATTAACTAGATTTCACCCCCCACTCCACAGGCTCTTTCACCACCCAACATTCTACAAGAAAATTCACAAGAAACACCATGAGTGGACAGCCCCCATTGGCATGATCTCTTTGTATGCCCACCCCATAGAACATGTGGTGAGTAGAGGTGGAAAGTCTTTCTAGAGCTGGGCGCTGGTGGCTCACGCCTGTAATCCTAGCTACTCAGGAGGCTGAGATCTGAGGATCACAGTTCAAAGCCAGCCTGGGCAGGAAAGACTGTGAGACTCTGATCTCCAATAAACCACCAGAAAACTGGAAGTGGCACTGTAGCTCAAGTGGTAGAGCACTCGCCTTGAGCTGAAGAGCTGAGGGACAGCGCCCAGACCCTGAGTTCAAGCTCCACAACTGACCAAAAAAAAAAAAAAAGTCTTTCTAGAAAGTCTGATGGTCCCAACCACCTTCCCTAAGATCTACAGATAATCACACCATGTGGACCCCTTTTCTTTCCCTTTAACTAGCTCCTAGGCCAGGCTAGGCTAGGTACCTTAACACCAATGAGGTCACTTACCTTTTCCAATAAATTTTTAGGCTTTTTGTTTTGGGTGCCAGTATTGGGGCTGGAACTCAGGGTCTAGGTGCTATCCCTGAGCTTTATTTTGGCTCAAGGCTGGTGCTCTACCCCTTTGAACTTCAGCCAACCCCAAGCACTAATGTCTTTGAGACTCTTTTCTTAGGGGAAGAGGGTGGTGGGCAATCCTGGGGCTTGAATTCAGTGTCTGGGCACTGCTGTCCCCAAGCTTTCTTGCTCAAGGCTAGTGCTTGAGCTACAGCTCCCTTTCCAACTTGATTTTGAGTAATTTATTGGAGAAATGAGTCTCAGACTTTTCTACCTGGACTGGCTTTGAACTTCAATCTTTAGACCTCAGCCTTGAGTAGTGAGGATTGCAGGCATAAGCTACCAGCACCTGGCTTGTCATGAGACTCATCTCCAATCTCCTAGTTAAAGTTGAAATGAAGTGTTAGAGCTGGAAAAAGCCAAGAGAGGGTGCTCTACTTCTGGCTTTTTATTGGTTAAATTGAAGAGTCTCATGAACTTTCCTGGCCAGGCTGGCTTTGAAACGTGATTCTCACTCACATCTCAGCCTCCTGGGTAGCTAGGATTATAACTGTGAGTAATTGGCACCAGGCCATCTGCTTGACTTTCTTTTTCCTCCAAGGTTGGTGCTCTACTGGTTAATTGGAGCTAATAGTCATGGACTATTCTGCCCTAGCTGAATTTGAACCCTGCCCAACCTCCCGAGTAGCTAGGATTACAAGTGCTAACCATCAGTGCCCAGCCAACTTGATATAATGACAAAGTGGAGGCATTAATAACTCATCCCAAGTTAGATCGAGGTCCTAAAACTCTTTCAAGCTTCTCCTTATTTGAGTCTCCCTTTCAGAGCTAAGTCTCCTCCAGCTCCCTCAGCTGTGCCTGGAATAATTATTTTTTATTTTATTTATTTTTTGGTCAGTCATGGGGCCTGAACTCTGGGCCTGAGCGCTGTCCCTCAGCTCTTCAGTTCAAGGCTAACGCTCTACCACTTGAGCCACAGCGCCACTTCCGGCTTTTTGCTTATGTGGTGCTGAGGAATCGAACCCAGGGCCTCAGGCATGCAAGGCAAGTGCTCTACCACGGAGCCACCTTCCCAGCCCCTCATTATTCTTCTTGCAGGTTTCCAATATGCTGCCTGCCATAATGGGTCCCTTAGTCATGGGCTCCCACCTGTCCTCCATCACTGTGTGGTTTTCCTTGGCCGTAATCCACACTATCATCTCCCATTGTGGCTACCACCTGCCCTTCCTGCCTTCCCCTGAATTCCACGACTACCACCATCTCAAGTAAGCCCTGCCCCCACCCAAATATATGTGTGTGTGTGTGTGTGTGTGTGTGTGTGTGTGTGTGTGTGTGTGTGCGCGCGCGCGCCAGTACTGGGGCTTGAATTCAGGGGCTTCGTGTTTTCCTATGGCTTTTTCACTCAAGGCTGAGCCTCTAGCACTTGTGATATACCTCTATTTCCAACTTTTTGGGGGGCTAATTAATTGTAAAAATGTATATCTCAGATCTGTCTGCCCAGGCAGGCTTCAAACCATGATCCTCAGATCTTAGCCCATGAGCCATCAACACCCAGCTAAAGCTGATTTTTCAAGTGTGGTCTATGAACTTCCTAGCTAAGCCTCTGCAGAGCCTTATCCAAAATGCAGGCTTTTGAATTGAAGTAGCTGTGAGAGCAAAGCCTGGAAATCTGTATTTCCATGTGAGCCAAGGTGTTTGATACAAGTGGGGGTCCTTGAACCATCTCTAAGCAAGCCTAGTTCTGTTAGAGGTTCTCAAACTTACAAGCATCAGAATCACAATTGATTCTACCAGTCTGGAGTGGCTCCAGTGTTAAGAATTCTCCAAGTAAGCCAGGCACTGGTGGCTCATGCCTGTAATCCTAGCTACTAAGGAGGCTGAGATCTGAGGATCACGGTTCAAAGCCAGCCCAGGCAGGAAACTCCGTGAGACTCTTATTTCCAATAAACCACCAGAAAACCAGAAGTGGCGCTGTGGCTCAAGTGGTAGAGTGCTAGCCTTGAGCTGAAGAGCTGAGGGACAACACACAGGCCCAGAGTTCAAGCCCCATGACCAACAAAAAAAAAAAAAGAATTCTCCAGGTAGCTGTGTGTGCTTGTAATCCTAGCTACTCAGAAGGCTGAGATCTAAGGATCGCAGTTTGAATCCAGTCTGGGCAGGAAAGTCTGTGAGACTCTTATGTCCAATTAAATCACAGAAAAAGCCAGAAGTGGAAGTGTGGTTCAAGTGGTAGAGTGCTAGCCTTGAGCAAAAGGAGATCAGGGAGAGCTTCCAGGCCCAGAGTTCAAGACTCAGGACTGGCATAATAATAATGATGCTAATGATCATAATAATAAATAATTCCCCAGGTTATGTGATGAATGTAGGCAGAATAGTGGTGACTTTTTTTGAGAGCCTTTCCTGGGACCTGAACTCATTGCCTGGGTACTGTCCCTGAGCTCCTTCTGCTCAAGGCTAGTGCTTTACTACTTGAGCCACAGGTCCACTTTTGACCTTTTCTTTCCGGTCCTGTTTGTTTTTCCCAGTTCTGGGCCTTGAACTCTGGGCCAGGGTGCTATCCCTAAGCATCTTTTGTTCAAGGCTAGTGCTCTACCATTGAGCTACAGTATCACTTCTGGCTTTTTCTGTGACTAACTGGAGAGGAGTTTCATAGAATTTCCCACCTGAAATGGCTTTGAACTATGATCCTCAGATCTCAGCCTCCTGAGTCACTAGGATCACAAACATGAGCTACCAGGCTAGTGATGACATTTCTGATGAAATGGAGCTCCACTATGTCCAGCCTTAGGAGTGAATCATCTTTCTTGTCTCCTCTAGGTTCAATCAGTGCTACGGAGTGTTGGGGGTGCTAGATCACTTGCATGGGACGGACAAAAAGTTTAAGCAGACCAAGGCCTATGAAAGACATGTTCTCCTGCTGGGCTTCACACCCCTGTCTGAGAGCATTCCCGACTCACCAAAAAAAGATTGAGGGGGAGGGGGGGAAGGATGGGAAGGGATGGGAAGGGGAAACAAAGGAGGAGGCGACAATGCTTGATAAGAAATGTCCTCATTACCTTTCCATGTAATTGTAACCCCTCTGTACGGTATTTTCACAATAAAAAAAAAAAAAAAAAGATTGAGAGTCCTAGTGCGCTCCTGCCTATCCACTCTACAGCAGGATTCTGGGACAGCCTGAGGTCTTAGAATTGCAATTAAAGACTTGATTTCTTCACACTAATGACGACACTGCTGGAGACAGAAGAAAGGTTGGGCCGGGCGCTGGTGGCTCACGCCTGTAATCCTAGCTACTCAGGAGGCTGAGATCTGAGGATCGTGGTTCAAAGCCAGCCCGGGCAGGAGAGACCGTGAGACTCCTATCTCCAATAAACCACCAGAAAACCGGAAGTGGCGCTGTAGCTCAAGTGGTAGAGCACTCGCTTTGAGCTGAAGAGCTGAGGGACAGCGCCCAGGCCCAGAGTTCAAGCCCCACGAACGACCAAAAAAAAAAGAAGAAAGGTTGGCTTCCAGTGAGTGAAAAGGTAGGGCCAAGGTCAGGGGCAGAGCCCTCTTTTCAAATGACGGTCCTTGTCCCTATTGCATCAGAAATTGACTCAGGGGAAAACAAACAAACAAACAAAATAGCTCCCCAGGCTGGAAACCATCCAGAGGGAAATAGAAATCATTTTGTTAGGCCCCGGTGAGTCCTTCTGGTCTCCTGTGGAAGGGCACTAGGGCTCCACCTCCAGATGAACCTTGGTGGTGGGGAAGTGGGGCTCTGCTAGGGCCAGAACACCGTTGGCAAACACATTCAAAGGCCATTACATTTTGTTTTGTTTTTTCTCCAGTCCTGGGGCTTAAACTCTGGGCCTGGGCACTGTCTCTGAGCTTCTTTTGCTTCAGGCTAGCACTCTACCACTTGAGCCACAGCACTTTAGGCTTTTTTCTGTGTATATGTGGTACTGAGAAATCAAACCCAGGGCTTCATGCATGCTAGGCAAGCACTCTACCACTAAGCCACATTCCCAGCCCACGATTACAATTCTGCCTTGCTGCACACAAATGTCCTTTCTTTTTATCTTTTCTGTCAGTCGTGGGGCTTAAACTCAGGGCCTGGGCACTGTCCCTGAGCTAAGGTTAGTATTCTATCGCTTTGAGCCACAGCTCTACTTCAGGTTTTCTGGTAGTTAATTGGAGATGAATCTCAGACTTCCCTGCTCAGGCTAGCTTCAAATCATGATCTTCATATCTCAGCCTCCTGAGTAACTAGGATTACCAAGTATGACCCACCAGTACCTGACTTGAAGCACTTGACTCGTGGAGCTTGAACTCTGGGCCTGGGCGCCGTTGTCCCTCAGCTCTTCAGCTCAAGGCGAGCACTCTGCCACTTGAGCCACAGCACCACTTCCAGTTTTCTGAATGGTTTATTGGAGATAAGAGTCTCACTGACTCCTGCCCAGACTGGCCATGATCCTCAGATCTCAGCCTCCTGAGTAGCTAGGATTGTGGGCATGAGCCACTGGCGCCTGGCCCGAGGCAAAAATTTTAAAAAGGACATTCTTTCTATGGGCAATAAGACCCCAGAGGACTTAGCATTCTTCCTGGCTTCTGCCAGCTCTGCTTGCTTACCTCTGGCCCTGCTGGATGCAGATCCCTGTCTAGGATAACCTGTGCCCTCAGCTGGAAGTGCACTGAAGCACTCATAGCTGTGGATGTGTATAACCATTACCTGTTCCTACAAATAAACATCTGGAAAATTGCGTATCTTCAGTGTACTTAAGGGGTGGGGATGCACACACATGAGAAACAAACACTTTTCCCTTTTAGTCTATAGATTTCAAGGAAAACAGACTTATTTTTATTTTTTTGGTGCTGGTACTGGGGCTTGAACTCAGAGCCAAGGTACAATCACTTGCATTTCTGCTCAAGGCTGGTACTCTACCACCTGAGCCACAGCTCCACTGTCAGCTTTTGCTGGTTAATTGAAGATGAGTCTCAAGGACTTTCCTGTCCAGGCTGGCTTTGAACCATGATCCACACATCTGTCTCCTCCATAACCAGGACCACAGTACCCAGTGCTGTTCTCCTTGGGATTGAACTTGGGGCCTAGGGCCAGTACCTGAGCTTTTTTGTTCAAGATTAGCACTCTACCACTTTGAGCCATAGCACCACTTCCGGTTTTTTGGTGGTTAATTAAGTCTCAAGACTTTCCTGCCCAGGCTGGCTTTGAACCATGATCCTCAGATCTCAGCCTCCGAAATAGTATTATAGGAGTGAGCCCTTGGTGCCTTGCTTGTTTTCGTTTTTTTTCTTTTTTGGGGGGTTCGGTCGTGGGGCCTGAACTCTGGGCCTGGGTGCTGTCCCACAGCTCTTCAGCGCTCTACCACCTGAGCCACAGTGCCACTTCTGGCTTTTTTCTTATGTGGTGCTGAGGAATCGAACCCAGGGCCTCATGCATCCAAGGCAAGCGCTCTACCACTAAGTCAACTTCCCAGCCCCTTGTTCTCGTTTCTTTAGGCAGGCAATGACCTGTGCCTGCCCACAGCAGAGGGAGCTTGGCCTATCCTTTTCTGCAAATAGAATGACCCTGAATCTGGTAAATAAGGCTGAAGTGTCCCTGCAACTTTGTACATTCTAAGATATAGGTATTTGGTTGTGGGGCTTGTACCCTGGGCCTGGGTGCTGTACCTCAGCCCTCTACCACTTGAGCCACAGCACCACTTCCGGTTTTCTGGTGGTTAATTGAAGTCTCACTTTCCTGCCTGGGCTGGCTTTGAACCGTGATCTTCAGATCTCAAGCCTCCTGAGTAGGGTTATAGGCGTGAACCACAGGTGCCCAGCTCATTCTAATATATTCTAACCTTCATGATTGTGTCCTTGGGAGCTAAGAAGTGTTCAATGGTCTCTTTTCTAACCATTCCTGACAGGAACTTGTAGAAGTGTAGTTGAAGTCTTCTTCACTTTCCAAAGCACTCAGAAGTCCTGGATACGATCTAAAATTTTTCCTTTGACCCATGGAGACCATTGGTGGTACCAAAGTACCTGCCCACCTGAAGGACAGGAAACCATTTGATAGGAGGTGCCAAAGTACTGCCCACCTGAAGGACAGGAAACCATTTGATAGGAGGTGCCAAAGTACCTGCCCACCTGAAGGACAGGAAACCATTTGATAGGAAGTGCCATGATGGGAAGCCAAACAGTTGTGAAGCTGGGCAGAGACCACACCTCATCGTTAGTGTGGAGTGTGGCTTCCTGCATCTCCTGTAAGGGTGCAGAGGCTGGCCTGGACTTCAGGTCAGACTACCTAATAGCTACTTCCTCCTTACTCCTTCCAGAAAGCCTGTTGAGGCAATGCTGACCCTCCACAAAAACCACAGTATTTTCCTTCTTGGCTATTTACAATGCTATGTTGCAGCTGGTGGAAAAGCTAGCGCAAGAAGTGGGTAGAAAAGCTGAAATTTCACCTGTTGGACAGGTAGCTCTTTGTGGTGTCGGCTATGGCTCTCAAGTCCCACCAAGACAGAATGAAAGGGTGGGGGTGAGGAGTCGACCAAGTGTGGAGTGCTTGCTCAAGCTGGGTGCTGGAGCCTGTAATCCTAGCTGAGATCTGAGGATCGTGGTTCAAAGCCAGCCTGAGCAGGGAAGTCTGTGAGACTCTTTATTTCCAATTAACCACCAAAAGACTGGAAGTGGAGCTCTAACAAGGAAACGGAGGCATGGCTCAAGCGGTAGAGTGCCAACCACCTGTAAGTGAAAGCTGGGTGCTGGTGGCTCCCAATTATAATCCTAACTACTCAGGAGGCTGACAACTTGACTGTGGTTCCAAGCCAGCCCAGACAGGATAGTCTGGAGGTTCTTTAATTATCCACCAGAAAACAGGAAGTGTTGCTGTGGCTCAGCGGTAGATGTTAGCCTTGAGCAAAAAAGCTCAGGGATGGCACCCAGCCCAAATTTCAAGCCTCACATCTGACATAAAAAAAAAGGGGTGGGGGGGGGGGGGAAGGGCACCTGGGAATGTGGCTTAGCGGTAAAGTGCTTGCCTAGCATGCATGAAGACCTGGGTTTGATCCCTCAGCACCACATACACAGAAAAAAACGCAGGTGGCGCTGTGGCTCAGGTGGTAGAGTGCTAGACTTGAGCAAAAGAAGCTCAAGAACAGTGCCCAGGCCCAGAGTTCAAGCCCTAGGACTTGGAGGGAGGGGAAGGGAGAGGGAGGCCAAATGACAATGGGAGGTACTGAGTTCAAGCCCCAGGAAAGGTACAAAAAAACGAAACCCAAGTGCATACACTAGCTGCTTTAAGAAGCACCTACCCCAGGCAGCTCTCTCCTAGCATCAGGGATCCCCAAAGTGCTCCTCTCTTTCAGCCAATTGCAGTGCGCCGGATGGGAGACCAAACAGTAGGTTTGCCTTTTCAAGTTTTTATTTTTATACATTTTTTTTGTATTAAAAAGAAAAGCATAATTACCACAAATTACAAAGGACTAAAGCAGGACTAGAATAATGAATGAAATCACTTCAGCCTGGGAAGCAGATACTCTCAATAATATTAATGTTATAATACAAGCTCATTCAAGTATTTTACATTTTTTTTTTGTCCTTTTAAATGTGATATCCTAAAGCACATGGTAGATAATGTACTATGAGCGTAAGGGGGAACCTTTCTCTGCAAAGCCAGATGAGTTTTCCTCTCCAGTGAGAAATGGGCTGAAAGTTCTTATCTTCTCCACCATCAACATGGCCAAAGGAGGAGAGGATGGGGGTCTGAGGGAGAAATCAGGGACCCTTCCACACAAGTACTTTGGGGTTCCTATTCAAGAGTCCCAGATGATCCAGACTAACTCTACCCAGACTTTTGGCAACCTCTCACCCTCCTTCCCCACTTCCAGGGCCTTTCTGAGCAGCTTGCTTTCTTTTTTTTGTAAATCAGTCATCAGAAAAGGGGGGAAAAAAGAGCTACAATGGAACAAAACGAAAAACGTTGAACAACTTCGACATGGGGCTCAGCACCTCCACCAGAGCCCTAGGGGCCTGGGCTGGAGCAGGGTGGGACACAGCCTTCTCTTCTCGTAGTGCATTTGCTCCCAGGTTCAGGAGGGCATTCCAGATATCTGCCCTTTGCCAGGGCAGAGGCACATGGACCTTCTGTTGGCTGTCCAAAGGTCGTTCTGTAAGGACCAACTCTGGAAAAGTAGGGGATGAATAGAGGGGGTCTGGGCAGGGTGTTGCCTTGGGTCTCAGTTCTTCGATCCCTGTGGGAAGATGGTGAATGGGAAGTGGCCGGCCTCAAGGCCCTGCCACTCCGGGCATGCTTGTCACAGATACATCGGTCCTAAATTCAAGTGTCTTCAGAAAGTGAAGATGTAAACTACTCTTTGCAACATTAACTCCTAACATGTTACAAAAAAAAAAAAAAAAAATGGGGGGGGGGAGGGGGAAGAAAAAAGAAAAAAAAAAAAGGAAAAAGAAAAGCTCCCCACCCCCTCTCCTCAGCCTATGTTGAGATGAAATCCCACCTGCCCACAGCTACGGTCCTCCTCCGCCAGGGGCATCTGAAAGGCTCAGGGAGAGGATGGCAGGCTGGGCATGGGGGAAGAGCCTTCCCCCTCACCTTGACCCTTGACCCAGATCCACACAAAGGCCGAACCTGAGGTTTCAGTGGTGCTGGATACAGACTGGGGCTGATTGGCCAAAGGAAAGAAAGGGAAAACCAAAGGGAGGAAACTGGGGTTCAGGAGTCCAGTGTCTGGTACGGCATGGGGCAGGCACCAGACCAGTCAGGGAAAGGCCTCAGGTCCCAGCAGAGCCTGACTGCACGCACTCCCATACTGAACATGGGAAGGGCACAGGTTAAGCAATGAAGGACTCCCTAGCAGAGGGGAAGCCCTTGGCAGCCTGGGACACTGTAACCTTTCTCCTAACTCCCAACCTGTGGGCCAACAGAGGAACCTGGTGACGAGGTGGGCCACAGAGGTTCCAGGTAACCAAGCAACAAGAACACCGACGTTTCACTGGTGCCCAGGTCCCACGCAGGTGGAGCACCAAAGTCAGGCCCATAACTTGACACAACCACCCCAGCGGTGTGGGTCAGTCCTTGATCACCCTTCCTGGCTTCGGATGACAAGTGGACTCCAGCCATTCCATTGTCATTTGCAGCCTGGCAGAGGCAGTCAGTGACTGGAGAAGAGAAGGCAGGTATACTCTATGTCCACATATACCTTCCTGCCATGGGGCTTCGCCAATGGGCAGGGTCTCCCCAGCTCCTCCTCGGCCTTTCTTCCCAGGCCGTGGTCTCACTCCCACATGGGCTTTTAGAGGGTGGGCAGAGATGGCTCGCAGAGGGAGGCAGGGCAAGATGCAACATGGGAAGACCCCACGAGGCCCTTGGAGGAGAATGGCACCTCTCTCTCTCCACTTTGAATGAGACAAGGCTTCCTTGAGGTCTCCGATCTTCTTGGGGGCAATGCTGAGAAACAGATCCAAGCCATGGCTGCAGGGTTCACCTGCCCCCTTCGGGCTGGGGGGGGGGAAAGGGGGTTACGCTCAAGTGTGTTCCAGATCCAGGCCAACTCTTTCTTTCCGACAGTTTGAAGTGAACTTGGCCTTGGGGGGGGGGGGGGGTTTCCCCAGGGTAAGATGAAGAGGGTCACGGCAGGACAGGCCTGGCGCGAGGCGACAGCAAGCAGCGCGAGGACTCGACAGTGGCAGCAGTGTACAGACAGGGGACGTCAGCTTCAAACGATGCAACGGCGGGGGGATGGGGGGAGGGGGAGATGGCTCGGCTACGAACCACCCCAACTCTCTTGCCTCCGGGTGGGAGGCGCTGTACATGCAACTCAGTCCAGAGAAAGATTCTAGCCAGTCCAAGCCCAGGCACATCCAGAGAAGGTGGGAGCTCTTCGGGGTCGACTCCACCGAGGAAAGCAGGCATTTGGGTTTTATTTCAGATTCCCGCTCCACAATAAGGCAACGTTTAAAAAAATATTATTTCCAAGAACGAAAACAAAACAAAACAAATTCCAAGGAGAGGGGGCAAGACATCACTTTCTATGGATTAGGTGGGGGCTGTTTTCTGACTTTTTTGTGTTTTTTTTTTCTTTTCTTTTTTTTTTTTTAAATGGTCGATTTTTTTTTTCCCCATTTTTCTCAAAAATGGAAAAGGTCAGAGAAAAATAAAATAAATCATCTTTCAATAGTCTTTTCTGGTATGAGCAGCGTCTCTCTGGGCTGGGGAGTAAAGGGAGCAGGGGGAGGGGGGGAGGCTGAGACCTTCCCAGCCCCCACTTTTAGATCCTTTGGTTTCCTTCTTCCCCAGAAGGTGGCAGAAGGGCGTAGAGTGGGGACAAGAGGGAGAGAACAGGATGATGGCAAGCCCCTGATGATCGTGGGGCCGGTGCTTCTGGGGCGCAGGGGCACTTCAGAGCCTTCCGTGGGACAGTACTGGGTGACGAGGCCCCATGGGCCTTCTGGTGGGCTGCATAGTTGGCTTGAGGGGGAGCAAGAGGAAGCTGTGAGTGGGGACCAGGGTTGCGGCCTCTCAGCCATGGGCAGGGCTGAAAAGTGATTTTGGTAATCCAGACAAACTATCAATAATTTAAAACTTGATATATATATATATATGTATATATATATAAAAAATCTCCCCCCTTTCCCTCCCCCCTTAGAAGAAGCTCAGATGGAAAGGTCATGGAGAGAGGAGGGAATGAAGGGGTGTGTGGAGGCTCCTGCCCAGGGGTACCTCTAAGAGCCAGAATGGTGGATACACCGCTACTCAGCATAAAGGCCCATCCAAATAACTCCAGGCCTGTCCCTTCTCTGTCCCCTCTCCTGGGACTGGGCACCCCCACGGACCTTCGCCCACCCCACCCCGTCTCCCCCCAAAACCCCAGGGCTAGGGGCTTTTCACTTTCCCAAAGTCTGAGTGTCCGAGTGCTGGCTTGTCCATTTGGCATCTTCCCGGACAGGCTGGCCAGTAGGTGGTAGAAGGGGTTGGCTGATCATAGATGCAGGCCTGCTGGAAGACTGCGAGGGGCACCGCTTCCTGCTCTCACCGCCGCCGCCGCCGCCACCTGCTACCACGGGGTGTCGCTTGTGGTTGCCCTCTTCACCCATAGGAGGCTGCAAGAGAGGAGGGAGTCGCACGTGACCAAAGCCCCCTCCAGGGCTGTCTACAGACCTAGTTTCTACCTCTCAAGGTAGATCAATAGTTTTGACCTTAAAAACCAATTTCCAACTACTAAGCATCTTTTTCTATGCCAACATTATACTATTTTACGTGTATTCTCTCACAGCCGTCATACCACCCCTTTGATGTGGATATAATTATGCGATTTCACAGGCGAGGAAACAGACAGAAGTAATTGGCAAAGATAAAATTTAGATCCACCTACCTCTAAAGACCAGGCTTTTATCCATTCACATTTCAACTCTCCTTTTGAGAATACATCTTTTGGTTAGGAAATGTGTGAAACCTCGCATGCAGTATGCCGAGGTCTCAGCTCAGAAGGGCCAGATTTTTTTTTTTTTCTTCTTTTCTTTCCCCAGTCATGGGGCTTGAACTCAGGGACTGGGTGCTGTCCCTGAACTTTTGCTCAAGGCTAGTGCTCTACCACTTTGAGCCACAGCTCCACTTCCGGCTTTCTGGTGGTTAATTGGAGATGAGTCTCATGGACTTTCCTGCCTGGGCTGGCTTTGAACTATGATCCTTAGACCTAAATAGCTGGGAGTATAGGTGTTCTAAGCCACCAGCACCCAACACCAGATGTTCTTGGGGAATCACTGGTCGTCTCCCCCCCCCCCCTCCCCCATACACACACTAAAACAGGCCACTAAACAGGCCACTGAACCAAGAACCTGACCATGATCCAGTCTGGCTCCACAATCACCAGAGGTGCTGAGTATCTCGATTCCTTTTCTGGGTACCATAGCTGAGCCCTTGTTCTTTGCCTTTGTACACCCTCTCTCCCCAAAACAGATTCATCTCTACAAGGGGAAATCTGAGAAGTGTTTCCCTTATCTCTTCAGTTTTATCTATCTGGACTACCTAAAGGTCAACAAGGTTAATATAAAGTGCCTAGCACAGTGTCTGGGACATAGTAAATGCTCAATGGTGTTTACTTACAAAGTTGGAAGAGAAGGGATAAGATCCTTAGCAGTAGATCCTACTACATTACAGACTCACTGGTTAAACTATCACCTTTTTTCTGAGGTGCTGGGGGATTAAACCCAAAACCTCACACATGTTAATAAGCACACTGCCATTATAAACCCAAGGAAATAGTCTCTCACTCATCTCTGAAGTCCCTGAAGCACCTGGTGCAGATCAGTGTTTATGCTTCCTTGATATCTAGTAGCAATAATTCAGACTCACCACTGGATGTCACTGTTGGAGCACTGTTCAAAAGAACGGGACACTAGTTTACAAGCTTCTAGTTAGCTGGAATGGACCTTTTCCAGAACAAATACATTCATCATAATAATAATCCTAATATAAATTCATAGTTGTGCACCTGGACATGGCAGTAAGGACTGGGAATGTAAGGAAAAGAGCCTTTGATGACTTAACTGTCTACAATGAGAAGGGACACTGGGGCAGCCACACAACTCTTAATTTAGACTCACTGCCCATCTTCGCCTTCCACTTTTCAGACGAGGACCCTAAGAAAACCCAAAGTGGAAGACCCGGGAGAGGGTTCCTGAGCCAATGGCATAGCTAGGACTAGAACTTAAGCATCCTGATTCCTGGAATAGACTTTGTTTTGGAGGGGTACAGGGAAATGAATTTGGGCCTTTGAAATTGGAGACAGTCTTTTGGACTTTTTTTTTCTGCCTGTCCTGGTACTTGAACTCAGAGCCTAAGTGCTTTTTTGCTCAAGTGCTATACCACTCAAGTTACAGCTCCATTTCTAGCTTTTTGGTGGCTAATAGTCTGACGGAATTTCCTCCCTGGCCTGGCTCTGATTTTGGACTACAATCCTCAGATCACAGCTTCACAAGCAGCTAGGATTATAGGCATGAACTGCCAGTGCCTGTTGTCTCTTGGACTCTTGAGTAGCTAGAATTGCAGGTGTGAGTTATTGGCTAAGTATAGAACATTTTTTTCTTTACAGGATCACTGAGAGTGAAAAGAGAGATTTTCTTTTTTTCTTGCCAGTCTTGGGGCTTGAACTCAGGGCTTGGGCACTGTCCCTGAGCTTCTTTGCTCAGGGCTACCCTTTGAACCACAGTGCCACTTTCAGCCTTTTCTGCTTATGTGGTACTGAGGAATCAAACACGGCTTCATGCATGCTAGGCAAGCACTCTACCACTAAGCCACGTTCCCAGCCCATGAGAGACTTTCACTTACATCCACTCGGAAGTCTTCTAGCCGTCTGAATTTGCCGAGGTATTCTTGCAGTTTGGGGTCAATGTCCAAATTTTTGGCTTTGGAATATTTTAGGAAAGCCCAGAACTTCTCCAGTCCATAGAGCTGGCCTATGATAAAAAAAAAAAAAAAAAAAGAAAGAAGATAAGCAGACAAAAGTTAGGCTCCTGAGATGAGGATAAGTAGGCTCAGAGGAGAGGGAGGTATAGGGTGACACACAGAAAGACACAGGTGACAGGTGGATCAAGTAGCTAGAAGGTCCGGATAATCAGGGCTTACACAGCTCCAACTCTGACACTTACCAGCTTCATAGTCCTTCACGGTTTCCTCCTGAAAGTCCTTGAATATGTCCAACCGAAACTTTTTTTCTAGGCCATAACTGTAGTATCGAAAAAGGCACTCCAAACCATATCTGTGGAGGACACAAGGTCAGTGAACTCAGGCAGTTTCTGCATCTATAAAATGGCAATGTGCCTGCATGGGAAAGAGCTAGGAAACTCGTTATTCCTTTGTTGAAAAAATTTGGCCAGGCACCGCTGGCTCACGCCTGTAATCCTAGCTACTCAGGAGGCTGAGATCTGAGGATGTGGTTCAAAGCTAGCCCAAACAGGAAAGTCTATGTTACTCCTATATCCAATAAACTATTCAGAAAAAGCCAGAAGTGGTGCTGTGGCTCAACTGGTAGAGGCTCAAAGAGGCTCAAAGGTGAGTTCAAGCCCCAGGACTGGCAAAAAAGAAAAAAAAAAAAGGCAAATACACTTTTAAGAAAGCTAACAATTTGAATGCTAGAGCCAGCAATAATGGTGGGATGACATTATCAAGATGTAACCTAGGGCTTGGGAATGTGGCTTAGTGGTAGAGTGTTTGTTTGCCTAGCATGCCTTTATGTGGTACTGATTCCTCAGTATCACATAAACAGAAAAAGCCAGAAGTGGTGCCGTGGCTCAAGTGATAGAGTGCTAACCTTGAGCAAAAGAAGCTCAGGGACAGTACCCAGGCCTTGAGTTCAAGTCCCAGCACTGGCAAAAAACAAAACAAAGCAAAAACCAAAACCCAGAGTTCATGGCTTGGGGCTGGGAAGGTGGTTCAGTGGTAGAGCACTTGCTTGCCTTGCATGCCTGAGGCCCTGGGTTCGATTCCTCAGCACCACATAAGCAAAAAGAAAAAAGCCGGAAGTGGCGCTGTGGCTCAAGTGGTAGAGCGCTAGTCTTGAGCTGAAGAGCTGAGGGACAGCACCCAGGCCCAGAGTTCAGGCCCCACGACCAGACCCCCCCCCCCCCCAAAAAAAAAACTTTATATAAAAAAAAGTTCATGGCTTGACATGGGTCAGGAAACTGTCTAGCCTTTCACTTCCCTTTTCATTCCCATTTCTTTACACAGTGCCTTTAATTGCTTTCTGCTCTAAAAGAGCAGAACTGAATAGCTGTGACAGATACCCTAGCACCCACAAAGTCTATTTCTTTACAGAAAACTTTTGACAAAAACCATTTAAGCATACCAATTAGGTTCGTCCTTTCTTTTTTTCTTTGGGGGGGGGAGGGTGGTCCGGTCGTGGGGCCTGAACTCTGGGCCTGGGCGCTGTCCCTCAGCTCTTCAGCTCAAGGCTAGTGCTCTACCACTTGAGCCACAGCACCACTTCCGGCTTTTCCCCCCCCTGCTTATGTGGTGCTGAGGAATTGAATCCAGGGCCTCATGCATGCAAGGCAAGCGCTCTATCACTGAGCCACCTTCCCAGCCCAGGTTTGTCCTTTGTTTGACTTACAAATTTCATTTCTGGGAACATATGCAAAGAAAAGGACCAAGAAATACATATTTATATTTTATGGAAGTATAAAGCTGTTCATAAGCTGGGCGCTGGTGGCTCACACCTATACTCCCAGCTACTCAAGAGGCTGAGATCTGAAGGCTGAGGTTCAAAACCTCAAAGAAGTCATTGAGGTTTTACATCTACACAAATATGCAAAGTCTACAAAAGATAAATGTTTAAAATATTAATACTGGTTATTTTGGGGAGTGGGATTTTTCAGTGATCTTTTGAATCTGTCTTTAAGATTTGCTTTTTATTGTCGGTTGTGGTGCTTGAACTCTAGGCCTGGGTGCTGTCCCTAAGCTCTTCAGCTCAAGGCTAGCACGCTACCACTTGAGCCACACAGCACCACTTCTGGCTTTTTCTTTATTTGTGGTGCTGAGGAATCTAACCCAGGGCCACATGCATGTAAGGCAAGCACTCTACCGCTGAGTCACCTTCCCAGCCCTCTTTAAGCTTTCTACAAAAATAATTTAAGAACTTTTATGAGGAAGAAAGAAATTACAGGGCTGGGAAGGTGGCTCAGTGGTAGAGTGCTTGCCTTGCATGCATGAGGCCCTGGGTTCAATTCTTCAGCACCACATAAGCAGAAAAAGCCAGAAATGGTGCTATGGCTTGAGTGGTAGAGCCCTAGCCTTGAGCTGAAGAGTGAGGGACAGTGCCCAGGCCCAGAATTCAGGTCCCATGACTGGCCAAAAAAAAAAAAAAAGAAATACAAGTTAGATTGGGAGTGCAGGCCTGTAATCCTAGAACTTGGGAGGCTGAGGTATCAGGGTCTCAAGTTTGAGGCCAGCCTGGGCTACAGATCAAGATCCCGACTCAAAAACAGTAACAGAAGTATTCTAAAAGTATGCTCTTTTTTTTTTTTGTGGTGGTGGTGGGACACTCCTGGGGCTTGAACTCTGGATGGACCTGGGCAGGTGGGTCCGTTAGCACTGCCTCAAGCCATAGCACCACTTCCAGCTTTTTCTGTGATTAACTGGAGGTAAGAGTCTTGTGGAATTTCCTGCCCATGCTGGCTTTGAACTCTGATCCTCAGATTTCCTAAGTCGCTAGGATTACAGGTGTGAGCTACAGGTACCTGGTTTAAAATGCTCATTCTTACAAAGGATAAATTGAGATACAGAGGATATTCACAGGATGATCTTGATGGCAGCACATTAACATTTGCTGCCTCTGGGCTGGGAAGGTAGCTCAGTGGTAGAGCGCTTGCCTTGCATGCCTGAGGCACAGGGTTCGATTCCTCAGCACCACATAAGCAAAAAGAAAAAGCCGGAAGTGGCGCTGTGGCTCAAGTAGTAGAGCTCTAGCCTTGAGCTGAGGGACAGCGTCCAGACCGAGTTCAGGCCTCACGACTGGACCCCCCCTCCCCCCCCCCCAAAAACAAACAAACCACATTTGCTGCCTCAAGACACCAAACATCCAAATGTCTTACAGGAGGAAATGTATTTTACCTCAAACGCTCCGGGACAAATGCCAGGCCCTGAATTCAAGCCCTAGGACCAGTGTGTGCATATGTATACACACATACATACATGCACGCACGCATGCATGCATGCAAGCACAGAAAAAGCAAAGTTATGTGCAGATGTGGATGGATCTCTAAACTAAAGGATTAAGAAAAAAAGGCCAAGTGCAAAAGAATACCACGATGTATACCACTTCTGGTGTAAAGATGAAAGACAGTGATGTAAGAGATGGCATAGACAAATCGCTTGTGAACAAGGCACAAAGCATCTTTTGGAAATAATGACCAGCTGCTAAATGCAGCTAGGAGGCAGACTTCATCACATCACCTTTTAAGTTCTGAAGTTTGAACCATGTGAAAGTACTGTTCATTTTAAGTAAGATATGAATGCATTCCCAACTCTAGTTGTAGAAAGCCAGTTGGACATCCACCTGAACTATGCTCACCTGTAGCCTTCTTTGGCATCCTCCAGAGCCAGCTGTTTGAACTCCTCGTACATCTTTTTGTTGAAGTGATCTCGGAGGAAGAAGGACCAGAAGCGGAAGAGTGTGTTCATCTCCTGAGACTGGCCAATGCCCAAGCGCTTTCGTTCTGGTGGGGAAGGAGGGCAGACATGACTCGGGCTGTCTGCCCTTGCTCTTGGGACGAAGGATTCTGGGACTTAAGAACAGGTTTCCTGCTGGGCACCAGTGGCTCACGCCTGTAATTCTAGCTACTCAGGAGGCTCAGGATCGCAGTTCAAAGCCAGCCTGGACAAGAAAGTCCATGAAACTCTTTATCTCCAATAAATCACGAGAAAACCGGAAATGGCGCAGTAGCTCAAGTAATAGAGTGCTAGCCTTGAGCTGAAGAGCTGAGGGACAGCACTCAGGCCCAGAGTTCAAGCCCCATGACCAACAAAAAAGAAAAGTATTTACTTAGCAGGAACTCTTATGCATTAGGCCTTATGCCTTGCTAGAAGCAGGTGGCTTCAGTTTCTGAACTAGTCTAACTGGACATCTCAATGGTACCCCCTTCTATGTTGGTTATTGGGCTTGAACTCAGGACCTAGGTGTTGTCTGAGCTTCTTCACTCAAGGCTAGTACTCTACCAATTTGAGCCATAGCTCTACTTCTGATTTTCTGGTGGTTATTGGAGATAAGAATCTCACAGGCTTTCCTACCCTGGCTGGTTTCAAAACACAATCCTCAGATCTCAGCATCTTGAGTAGCTAGGATTATAGGCATGAGCCAGCAGCAGCACCCAGCTTTTGGTAGTTAATTGGAGATAAGGGTATCACAGACTTTCCTACCCAGGCTGAACCATGATCTCAGCCTCCTGAGTAGCTAGGATTCCAGGCGTAAGCCACCAGCACCTGGCCCCGTTTTCTTTTCTATTCATTTTTACTTGGTTATTCCAATCAATTTCACCCCCTCTACCAGTCTTCCTACTTCCTAAAAACAAGGTCAATAGGTTTCACTGTTCTACTTTCATATATGCAATGCACTCAGACCACATTCACCCTCCTTGTTAGCCTAACGCTTCTGCTAGTACTCAACTCCCAAAAGAGCCGTCTCTCCCCCACCACCTATTCACCAACAACTCTGAGGTTTTTGATGTCTAATATAAGTTACAAAGTATTCCATCTTCTTTCATGTTTATCTACATATACAAAATTACACATACAGGTATACATATGCATATATGTATGTATGTACGTCAATGTCCACAGATAGGCATGTTTTTTCAGGTCTAGCTTCCATATACGAGCAAAAATATATCTGGTTTTCTTTTCTTTTTTTGGTCTGGTCGAGGGGCCTGAACTCTGGGCCTGGGCGCTGTCCCTCAGCTCTTCAGCTCAAGGCTAGCACTCTACCACTTGAGCCACTTCCATTTTTTTTTTTTTTCCTGCTTATGTGGTGCTGAGGAATCAAACCCAGGGCCTCATGCATGCAAGGCAAGCGCTCTACCACTAAGCCACCTTCCCAGCTCTATATCTGGTTTTCTAAGCTTGACTTGTCTGGCCCAATATAATGTCTACCAATTTCATCCTTTTTTTTGTTGTCAGTTGTGGGGCTTGAACTCTGGGCCTGGGTGCTGTCCCTTAGCTCTTCAGCTCAAGGCAAGTGCTCTAGACCACTTGAGCTACAGTGCCACTTCTGGTTTTCTAATGGTTTAATGGAGACAAGAGTCTTAGGGACTTTCCTGACCCAGCTGGCTTTGAACTGTGATCCTCAGATCTCAGCCTCCTGAGTAGCTAAGCTGACAGACAGTCAGTAGCTAAGCTCACAGACAGCTGTGAGCCACCGGTGCCCGGCTTCCATCCATTTTTTATCTGGTACCATGAGTAAGCAGCATAAGGCAAAATATGAGCCAATAATTTTAAAATCCTAGCAAATTACACTGTGCTCTTTACTTGTATTAACTATATTAACATAACTCAAAAGTTAGTGGGAGGGCTGGGAAAGTGGTAGAGTGCTTGCCTTGCATGCATGAGGCTCTGAGTTCAATTCCTCAGTACCACATAAGCAAAAAGAAAAAAAGCCAGAAGCGGTGCTGTGGCTCAAGTGGTAGAGCGCTAGCCTTGAGCTGAAGAGCTGAGGGACAGTGCTCAAACCCAGAGTTCAGGCCCCACGACCGAACACCCCCCCCCAAAAAAAAGTTAGCCAGGCGCCAGTGGCTCATGCCTGGAATCCTAGCTACTTAGGAGGTTGAGATCTGAGGATCATGGTTCAAAGCTAGCCTGAGGAGTAAAGTCCATGAGACTCTTCTCTCCAAATAATCCCTAAATCAGAAGTGACAATCTCACTCAAAATGGTAGTGAAGAAACTCAGACAGCACAGCACCCAAGCCCTGAGTTCAAGCCCCATGACCAACAAAAACAAAACAAAACAAAACAAAAAACAAACCTCCAAGTTGGATATCATGGCTTACTCAGGAGGCCGAGATCTGAAGATCAAAGTTTGAAGCCAGCCTGGGCAGGCAAGTCCATGAGACTCTTATCTCCAACTAACCACCAAAAAGCTGAAGTAGAGCTGTGGCTCACAGGATTGGAGTGCTAGCCTTGAGCAAAAAAGCTCAGAGACAGCACCCAGGCCCTGAGTTCAAGCCCTAAGACTACCCTCCACCCCACACACATCCCACAACTCAATATGCAAGACCAAAAGCACAAACAACAATCAGCAGCCAAAAAAAGGTAAGATTAGGGCTGGGAATGTGGCTTAGTGGTAGAGTGTTTGCCTAGCAGGCATAAAACCCTTGGGTTGGTTTGATTCCTCAGTACCACATAAACAGAAAAAACTATAAGTGGTGCTATGGCTCAAGTGATAAAGTGCTAGTCTAGCCTTGAGCAAAAAGAAGCTCAGGGATAGTGCCCAGGCCTTGAGTTCTAGCCCCAGGACAAGGGGAAAAAAAAAAAAAAAAAAGTTAACATTAGAAACTTTTTTTTTTTTTGGTCCAGTTGTGGGGCCTGAACTCTGGGCCTGGGCACTGTCCCTCAGCTCTTCAGCTCAAGGCTAGCACTCTACCACTTGGGCCACAGCGCCACTTCCAGCTTTTTTCTTTTTGCTTATGTGGTACTGAGGAATCGAACCCAGGGCCTCATGCATGAAAGGCAAGCCCTCTACCACTGAGCCACCTTCCCATTCCCAACATTAGAAACTTTTATGAAGCCGGGCACCAGTGGCTCACACCTGTAATCTACTCAGGAGCCTGAGGACTGCAGTTCAAAGCCAGCCCGGGCAGGAAAGGCTGTGAGACTCATCTCCAACAAACCACTCAGAAAACTGGAAGTGGCTATGTGGTTCAAGTGGTAGAGCACTAGCCTTGAGCTGAAGAGCTTAGGGACATCCAGAGTTCAAGCCCTCTGACCAACAAAACAAATAAGCAAAAGATTTATGAATTGGGAAAGTGAAAAAGACAACATACAAGGGAGAAAACATGTATCTAACAAGAATGCTTATAAACTTAGTGATAAGACAGATCCAACTAAATTAGAATCTGTATCACAAATGAGGAAAATGCAAATCAAAACCATAAGATACACTATTTCCCATCCTCTAGAATGAGTACAACTAAAGAGACTAACAGTAACTAGATGTAACCCTCACACCTGTAAACCTTGCTACTCAGAAGGTTGAGACTAGAAGGATCATAGTTTGAAGCAAAAAGATCTCAAATCAAAATCTCAACCAATAGAAAGCTGGGTGCAGTGGTATGTGCCTGCCATTTAAGCTAGGTGGGAAATATAAATAGAAGGACTGTGGCCTGAGCCTGCCAGGGCAAACAGCAAGACCTGACTTCTGGCAGCCGACAGAAGCTGGAGCCTGCAGTCATGGTAGAGGTATTGGGAGGTATATAGAGAGCAGGTTGGGGTGACCATTGCCATGGCCCCTCTAGCCAAGACCTGATGGAGATAAAGGTAATGCATCGTCCTGTTTCCCTTAAATAGCAAAGAATCTAAAACCAGAATGTTATTCATGGGTTGGTTTTTAATCTAAAACTGGCTGGAGATGAGGTCCTGAATTTAAGCCTTCATACTTGCAAAAAACAATCTCACTTTATGGTAAATGGAAATACATCTTACAACATCTATCAAGGCTTTCTCCTAGATGATATTGAGCATCATTTCTCAAGTGTTTTACACACTAACTACCACACTGAAAAAAAAAGGGGGGGGAGCTGGGAAGGTGGCTTAGTGGTAGAGTGCTTGCTTTGCATGCATGAGGCCCTGGGTTCGATTCCTCAGCACCACATAAGCAGAAAAGGCCGGAAGTGGTACAGTGGCTCAAGTGGTAGAGTGCTAGCCTTGAGCTGAAGAGCTGAGGGATAGCACCCAGACCCAGAATTCAGGCACCACAACTGACAAAATAAAAAGTTCTTTCCTTAAGACATGATGGAGCTGGGCACCGGTGGCTCACACCTGTAATCCTAGCTATGCAGCAGGTTGAGATCTGAGGACTGAGGTTCAAAGCCAGTCCAGGCAAGAAAGTCCTCATCTCCAATTAACCACCAGAAAACTAAGTGGCACTGTGGCTCAAGTTGTAGAGCGCTTGCCTTGAGCTGAGGGACAACGTCCAAGCCCAGAGTTCAAGCCACAGGACCCACAAAAAAAAAAAAAAAAAAAAAACAACAAACTTCAGGCAAGATTGCAAAACAACAACAACAACAAAACCCAACAACAACAAAAAAACCTAACACCTGACACTTTTCTATATCAAATGGAGGAAGCTCAAGGAATTGAACTGTTATGATCTAAATTCCCCTAGCTTCTGCCATTTCATTTTGTTTTCCTGTTTTTGTTGGTCGTGGGGCTTGAACTCTGGGCCTGGGCACTGTCCTTCAGCTCTTCAGCTCAAGGCTAGCACCCTACCACTTGAGCTGCAGCACCACTTCCAGCCTTTTCTGCTTATGTGGTGCTGAGGAATCGAACCCAGGGCCTCATGCATGCAAGGCAAGCATTCTACCACTGAGCCACCAAACAAGACACCTGAATCTAACTTTTGTTCTTCTTGCCATGTCACTTCTTGTTTCCAGTACCTGTTGTCTGCATGGACCTAATAATCACACAAAGGCCCAGCACTTCTTACCGTTAAGGCAGCGCCTACGATACTTATGGTAGACATGTTGTGTGAAGCCATTTTCCTTGAGCAGCTCATGGGAAGGATGCTGGAACTTGGGCAGTGACTGAGGGGTACAGCCATAGCTACCAACTGCAGGTGTCCCTTCTGAGGGGCTGGAACTAGAACCACAGAAAGATAAGTGTCACCAGGTTACCCGTAACAGCCCACCCTAAGGTTAGGAGATCCTTTTTGATCCCTCATGTCAGCCCAAACTGTGCCATTTAGCATTGTTCAGTCCCTGATTGAGGAAGACGTTGCATCAACCCTCAGAGAGTTTAAGAAGTTACTGAGGATCAGAGACTGGTCCAGGATCAAGGTACTAGTAAATAGCAGAGCTCTGTTCAAATGTCAAAATTTACGCTTCCTGGCATTCTTTTCCTAACTTGTAAGTTTATACTTTCCTTAATGAGCCATCCATCTGATGTTAACCCATTTTATAACCCTGCTTTATTTTCAGTCTGTACTATTTCTGCAGGAAACAGGCTACATAGGTTGGTGACTCCCAAACCTTGCTTTAGAATAAGGAACAATGGACTTTCTAACGAAGAGAAAAAAAAAAAAAAGGAATCTGGGACCTATTCTGAAAACCTCAGTAAGCCGAGTTAGGGCAGGACCAAAGAATTTTCTTTTTCCTCGGTTTTCTTTTGCTAGTTGTGGAGCTTGAACTCAGGGCCTAGGCTCTGTCCCTGAGCTCATTTTGCTTAAGGCTAGTGCTCTACCACTTTTGAGCCACAGCACCACTTCTGGTTTTAGGGTGGTTAATTGAAGGTAAGAATAGTGCTCTACCACTTGAACCACGGTGTGACTTCCAGTTTTTTCTGAGTACTTTATGGGAGATAGGAGTGTTATAGACATTCCTGCCATGGCTACCTTCAAACCACAAATCTCAGATCTTGGTTTCTTGAGTAGCTAGCATTACAGCACCCAAATAATAGAATTTGTTTTTTTCCTCCTCTTTTCCTTGTGGTGCAAGGATCAGACCCAGCATCCTGGGCATGCTAAGCATGCTCTCCACCAATGAGCTATAGCCCCAGCCCTACATGCTTATTTACTTGGACATTGTTTCTTAAGTAGGCAATCACAATTCAGAAAACACTATGAACATATCAAAATCAAGTCCTTTCCCCTTCCCAGCTCCTGGCTTTACATGAAGGTTCCTTGAACTTCCAATCTGGTAGATTTCATGCCCTCTTACCCACCCCACATAGGTAGCCTGATCCACTACTGCCCTAGTACCTAATAGATGCCGTCCTCGGCCTGTGCTCCCGGGAATCCATCACCCAGCCCACATGGCTCTCCAAAGGTGGGTTCGAGCTGTGCCTTGTCTTCCTTTTTCGAGGCATCTGTAAAGATCAGTCAGGACTTAGTTGTACAGGTACAACTCTGAGGAGCACGAAGAATTCTTAGAGTAAGACAGCCTTCATAAATGAATGGTACCTCCCATTTTATTTTATTTTGGATCTGGTCGTGGGGCCTGAACTCTGGGCCTGGGTGCTGTCCCTCAACTCTTCAGCTCAAGGCTAGCGCTCTACCACTTGAGCCACAGCACCACTTCTGGCTTTTTTCTTTTTGCTTATGTGGTGCTGAGGAATAGAACCCAGGGCCTCATGCATGCAAGGCAAGCGCTCTATCACTGAGCCACCTTCCCTGTCCCAACCTCCCATTTTAGAAAGTACTTTTTGTGGGCTCATTCTTTGTTCATTTGTTTTGTTTGCAGTACTGGGAACTGAACCCAGGGTTGTGTGCAAGCTAAGAAAGTGTTCTACTCCAACAAAATCATTTTCTCCCACATAATGTTCATGGCTGTGGAGCTAGCAACTATCAAGTCCATTTCACAGGTGAAGCAATGGAGGCCGAGGAGCAAGGAGATTTGCTGGTGGATCCTTATGTCCACCACTCACTTCGCTGGCTCAGATGAGACAGACAGAAATAAAGAACTAGAAAGTAAAGTGGGTCCAGGACAAGCAACTCACCTTGGCATCCAGTGTCCGTCCTTCTTTTACCACTGGGTAAAATCGCGAAGTCTGGCTTGAGTCTTTGAGCTGTGGGGTCCGGGGCGTGCGGGGAGTCCTGGCATTGCGGTAGTTTGGTGACTCTGGGACAGTGGTTGGTAGAGAACGGGCAATGGTGGAGGGCTCAGGAGCACCAAACAGTTTGTTGGCCAGTGCATCAGTGGGAACTGCAGAGGCAGAAAGTGCAGTAAGCATGCAGGGGACAGTTCAAGGCTGTGGACCCTCATCAATATTGGGTCTCATGTCTGGTCCTCACCTTGCTGGAACCGGGGCGGACCAGGAGGAACCTCCTGGTTGGGGTCCACAGGGGGCTCAGGAGTCAGGGTGTCAAACTGCTCCCGGCTGATCATGTTGACTTTCTTAAAGTTTTCAACTTCTTGCTGCAGAGGATGTGAGATGGGCGGGGAAAGAGGGCAAGTCAGCAAGCTGCTCTAGCCGGCTTAGGAATCAAGACTGGCGAGAAGTGGGAGAGGACAGCTCCCCCGTCCACATACATGGCATTCTGCTCTCCAGGCCTTCAGGTGCCTGTGGCCACTTGACCATAGTTACCCAGACACAAGAATGCTAAACAAAGGAGGCCAGCACATAAGACTGAGCTCAGGCTGGCAAAAGTGCTGGAGTTAGCACAGGCTCTTTCCTAGTCATTCCAACGGCTCCTTATGTGCCTTCCTGCCACCACCTTGTCACAGTGGCCAGGCAAGTCTCTCTCCTCCACCAAACAGTTACTACTCAGTGCATAGACACTCAACTTCCACCAAACATGCTCGGTGCAAAAATTGACTTATTTTTGAGGTAAGAGAACACCTAGACTGAGATCCACCTTCCCATTGTAGCTGAGTGTGGTGCTGTGCTTTTGTCATCGAGGAGAGATTAAGAAAGATTGTCAATGTATATGGCCAGGCTGGCCTCAAACCATGATGCTCCCAACCTCAACCTCCCAAGTAGCTAGGATTATAGGAATGAGTCACTGGCACCCGACAACAAGATGTCTTCTTTTCAAAAGATCTATTTTTTTTTTTTTTTTGTTGGTCGTGGGGCTTGAACTCTGGGCCTGGGCGCTGTCCCTCAGCTCTTCAGCTCAAGGCGAGCGCTCTACCACTTGAGCTACAGCGCCACTTCCAAAAGATCTATTTTTTTTTTTTAAATATTTTATACACTCAACATAAAATATAGGCTTTGAAATGTTTATACTATCTAATTATGACAGTCTCATTTTATTCTCCATCAGTGTCTAGCCAACTTTAAATAAAATACTGATGTCCAGGACAATAAATCCTCCTCTATGCAATTCAATAGGGTTCATGTATCTATTGTTGCATTAATGGCCCAAGAAGGTGTAAACCACCATCTTCCTCTCACAAGTGAGCATATAGGCTTTGGACTGGAGAGGGTCTTCCTTTTCTCCGTCTATTATTGGTATCCCAGGCTGCATATTCACTGCTACAGTTGAGCCTCACCTTAATCTGGGAATACTCAGGTTCAAACTTCTCAGTCCACAGGTCCTGCTCATAGTAGAAGAGCCCATCATTAATGACTTTGGCCAGCTCAGCACTCATCTTGGCCCGAGAGGTATGGTTGCCTGTGCGGTCCCCACCAGGGTGCCGGCGCATGTATGGTGGTGTCTGGGTAACAATGAGGATCTTGTTGACATCCCGGTCATCAATCTCATAGTCAGAGTCCTCATCAGACCAGGCAGTGAAGGTATTCTTTCGTCCATCCATCTGTTCCATCTCTTCATCGAATAGGAAATCGAGTTCTTCTTGCTCATCCTGGTCCTTAGCCATCAGCTGCTGGGAGAGAAGCTGCTGAGGCAAAGAGGTTGGGTGGGCGAGTCTGGGCTCCTCTGACTTCTGAAATAGGACAGACCAAAGACAGAATGACTAGGGGGGTCTTTGAATCAGGTTCTAGTTTTGTCATGAGAGAAAGTTAACACTAACAGGTTATTGTTCCCTCCCGGGAGTTGGCTTTAGGGAGAGAGAATGTCTTAATGGGCAGAGCCCAGTTCCTTCACACACAGCTCACAGAACCATTCACAAACAACTATGTTGTCATTTACGCTTCTACCTCACTTGGTGTATCTCAGAAGTGAGCACAAACCAGAAGTTCAACAGGTTGATTTTTCCATTTATCCATCTGGTTTTATGATGTATTTAGTACCTGTGTTGGGACCTAGCAACAGCAAATCTTCAATGAGCTGATGGATGAGCAAGGACTCAATAGTACCAGGCCCTTAAAAGGGCAGAATAAATTAAGATTAAAGTTCCTCCACTTTAGTAGGATTAAAAGTCTACCAGTCAGCCAACTGCAATGTAATATGGCAGAGACTAGAAATAGTTCATTGGAATACAGAGGATGCTTACCCACCTGATGTGGGCATGACTTCCTAAATTCTAGCTATGAAAGGATCAACACAAGTAAGGTGGATGAAGACAGGGACAGAGAGTGCCAGGTAGAAAGGATAGTATGCACACAGGCAAAAGAAAACAGGATGCTTTTAGCAAGGAATGTCAAACTGCTCCCAGGTGATAGAAGAAAACATTTCAGAAGGTCTATAAGACTGAATTTATCTGACACTGAGGGAGAAGCATTTGTCTACCTCATATGCCTCCAAGGCAATTCCTTGCTATGCAAAGACCTTCCCACATAAACCCCAACTCTTCTCTTTTAAGCTCAAGATAAGCCAACCAAGCAGGAGTAGTGGCTCTGATGATTGCAATTCTAGGACTGAGCAGGAGGGACGAGGGAGAGACTAATAAATCTGGCTCTCTCATCTTTCCAAAGCCTTTGTAGTCTGAATGCTTTATAGGATCCTTGTCCATTTACTGTCTTTATACCCATTATTCCTATTTGGGAAGATACAACACTTTTTAAAGTCAGAACAGAGGAGTTCTGGGGATCAGCTGACAGAGACAAGGAAGGAGACAATAGAACCAGTCAAGGTAAAATGCATGAGGAAGCTAAGGGTTTTGTAGATTCAAAATCTAAGGTCATCTCTGAATCACCTCACAAGCTCCAGACCCAAGGTTTCCAAAGCAAAGGAGACAGGGGAAGATAAGTTCAGTGCTAGAGGCAGTATTTGTAGGTTGAGATTGAAATACTTCACCTACAGTAAGTTCCATCTGTACTACATATATACATTGCTTTACTAATGCTAGAGTAGTTTGACCATGCTTTCCCATTTTAAATCAGGGAAAAATGAGGTCCTGAAGTACTCAACAAACTTTCCAAGGTCACTAAGCCATCAGATCTGTAAACCTGTGTTCTAGTCTAGACTCAATCAGTGCATTTACCACATCTGTTCCCTCTCCTCTGCTTCTACTAAAGGGATGAGGGACTTACAGGATATTGAGAACAAGTTCAGGAAAAAGGCTCTCTCTGGAAATGCAGACTCAGGGAATGAGATGAAGCAAAAACACAAGCTAAGACTCAAGAAACCTGGGCCATTGCTTCATGACTTCTTCCTATGGAACAGCCACTCAGGAACTTAGCAGAGCCCAGCATCCTGAGGAAAAGTCTCCCTAACCCCCCAGTGGAAACAGGCCAAGCTAACTATCCTGTAGTTGCTCCTGGTCATCTCACATTAGAACCCTGAATCACTTGGGTTCATATTTCTTTTTGTAATCCCTTTTCCAAGCATCCCAGTCTAGGGCCCTCAAATCCAAGGTAGTTCCTCACTCACCCTGGGTCGTGCTGGAGAAGGTCGAGGCCTTTTCTTCACTTCAATCCAGTTCTCAGAATCCAGGTCAGGCAAGCTAGCAGACAAGCCCTTGGGTAGCGTCTTCAGGTTGCTGACCTCCTCTGTTTTGGTTGGCACCGGGGTGACAGCACGGGGAGAGCCAGGAGCTGACTCTGAAGGGTGGGAAGATAAGATCCTCATCTCTCCAGTTTTCATCATCAGACCAGTACTGAAGATGTTTTCCAGAGGATGAGGACAAGAAAGGAGCATCTAGGGGGCTGGGAAGGTGGCTCAGTGGTAGAGCACTTGCCTTGCATGCCGGAGGCCCTGGGTTCGATTCCCCAGCACCACATAAGCAAAAAGAAAAAAGCCGGAAGTGGCGCTATGGCTCAAGTGGTAGAGTACAGCCTTGAGCTGAAGAACTAAGGGACAGCGCCCAGGCCCAGAGTTCAGGCCCCATGACTGGACCCAAAAAAGAAAGGAGCATCTAGATGCTGGAAGGGTACCTACCTGTTTCCTTTTGGTAGTGCTGGCGGGGAACAAACTCAGGGCAGTTGAGAAGCTGAGAGAAATCAGTCTGTGAATAATCTACGATTGGAGGACCAGGCAGAGGCCACTTCTCAGGCTCTTCCCTCCTACGGACTTTCTCATCAACAATCTCCACCACCTTGCTGTCCTTTAGGGCCTGTGGGGGAGGATGAAGGACAGAAGATGAAGAAGAAAGACTAAGATCTTCAAAAAGATGAACAACTGGGTCCCTAAGAGCTTGGCTAATAGTCCAGGGACAGTAGTCCTATTTAGTATTTGGCACCTTCCTCCACAGACAGGCACACATGTGAGATGTCTAAACTTGTACTAGGGTACAAACACCAAAACCAAACTACCCATTAACCCTGTAATTCTACTTCCATTAAGCCAAGGAATACTTGTACAAAGAGGAAATAGTAACAGTAAGATTTGGACTTAAAGGCCATATATAGAAACACTGTAACAAGGAAAAAAAAAAAATCCTGAAAACAATCTATCTTGTCATCACATTGGCAACTTAAATAATGGTTCATTCATTTAATGGTGGATCAGACATTTAAAAAAGAAAAAAAAAAGTTTTTAGGGCACCAATGGTTCATGTCTGTATCCTAGCTACTCAGGTGGCTGAGATCTAAGGATCACGGTTTGAAGCCAGCTTGGGCAGAAAGGTCCCCATGAGACTCTGATCTCCAATTAACCACTCAAAAACCAAAAGTAGAATTAAAGCTCCAAGTGGTAGAGCATTAGCCTTGAACAAAAGAGCTCAGGGACAGTGCCAAGCCCTAAGTTCACACCTTATGACCAACCCAAAAAAAGAAAAAGCAAGCATAGATCAGTATGTATTAAATCCCTTTTGTATTTGGATTTTAAGGTAAACTATTTATGGTTGTTATCTGAGAATATGGGTAAATTAAAAAAAATTTTGAAATCTTTTAAGTGAATGAAGGAAAGGAAAATTTCAACATGTACTGTTGTTGAGAATGCAAAGGCAAAACCTCTACAAAGGAAATTGGGCAATGTCTAACAAAATTACATATGCATTCACTTTTATTTAGCCATTTCTGCTTCTGAAAACCTGTACCAAAAATACACTGGCAAAAATATGAAAAGCTAACTGCTGATGTATTAATAAAAGACTTGAAACAATTAAAATGTCTAGTGGGCAACAGTTTAAAAACCCTACAAAGTAGTGTACCACACAATTATAAATAGGATCTGGGTATATGTTCCTATTTTTAACCACTTTGCAGTTACTTCCCAGATACATAAAGTGAAAATAAAAAAGAACTCAAATTGGGTGCCAGTGGTTCATACCTGTAATCCTACTCAGGAGGCTAAATTCTGAGGATTAAGGTTCAAAGCCCGTTGGGACAGAAGAGCCTGTCTCCAGTTAATCAGCAAAATATGAAACTCAAGAGGTAAGCCAGCCATGGGGGAGGGGTGTTTGCAAATGAGAGCCAAGTCTTGAGTGCAAGCCCCAAAACGACCTTCCTCTCCCTGAAAAAAGAACTGAAGAATTTATGTGTGGTATGTTACTTATCAAAGAAAGGGGAAGGATACAAACGTACGGACAGGCATTTGCTTCTATTTTTTCTTTTAAAAAATATTTTCTTGGGGCTGGGAAGGTGGCTCAGTGGTAGAGTGCTTGCCTTGCATGCCTTGCCTGGGTTCAATTCCTCAGCACCATATACGCAGAAAAAGCAGCAAGTGGCGCTGTGGCTCAAATGGTAGAGTGCTAGCCTTGAGCTGAAGAGCTGAGGGACAGCACCCAGGCCCAGAGTGCAGTGCAGAGTTTAGGCCTCACAGCCAAAAAAAAAAGTATTTTCTTATTGTATTGAAGCAGGCTCTCAAAATGTAAGCCAAGACGTAAACCATATATGTAAGCCAATGTATGTGTGAATCAGACTGACCTTGACCTTGTGATCCACCTGTCTCCCAAAATTCTGCATTACTAAAGTATGTGCAGGATTTAGCCTATTTTTTTGTTTTGGTCGGCTGGCTTGAACTCAGGACCTGGGCACTTTTTGAGGCTCCTTTTACTCAAGGCTAGCCCTCTACCACTTGAGCCACAGTCCCATTTACAATTTTCTAGTGGCTAATTGGAGATAAGTCTATGGACCTTCTTGCCTGGGCTGACTTTGAACCCTGATCCTCAGATCTCAGCCTCCTGAGTGGCTAGGATTACAGGTGTGAGCCACTGGGGCCTGGCTTAATTTTGTTTTTAATGGAAGAATCCAGAAAAGGTTATCTCCTACATAAGAGGAAAAAGTGAAAACAACAGAATTTCAAGTTAGATTTATATTTGTATATTTTGACTCTGAAACTACTGTTTTAGATAAATTAAAAACAAACTAGAAAGTTATGGAGGGAGTCAACACATTCAATTCCTAAAACTCGAGCACAAAATGAAATCACTGGGAGAAAATGAAGTGTCACTTAAAAAAGAAATGTACTCCTGGGGCTGGGAAGGTGGATCGGTGGTAGAGTGCTTGTTTTGTATGCATGAGGCCCTGGGTTCGATTCCTCAGCACCACATAAGCAGAAAAAGCTGTAAGTGGTGCTGTGGCTCAAGTGGTAGAGTGCTAGCCTTGAATTGAAGAGCTGAGGGACAGCACCAAGGCCCAGAGTTCAGGCCCATGACCGGAAGGAGAAAAAAAAGAAAGAAAGAAATGTACTCATTACCTGACTTATGTAACTGTAACCTCTCTACATCACAATAAAAAATACATCAAGTGGGTGCTGGTGGCTCATGTATGTAATTCTAGCTACTCAGGAGGCTAAGATCTGAGGATCGTGGTTCAAAAGCCAGCTCGGGCAAGAAAGACCATGAGACTCCTATCTCCAAACCACGAAAACACTGAAGGGGTGCTGTGACTTAAAACAGTAGAGAGCTCGCCTTGAGCTGAAGAGCTGTGGGATATCGCCTAAGCCCAGAGTTCAAGCCCCACAACCCACAAAAAAAAAAAAGACCCAACAACAAAAAAAACACATCAACTTAGAGGCATAACTAAACAAATGATTTCAAATACCTTGAAATTAGTCATCTAAGTTGAAAACAAAAACTTTTCAGAGGCAGTATTTTTATATGAATAAAACGTGTTACTTGCATAATAAATATGTAAAATAAGACATATGAATAATTATGTTCATGCCATTAGGAATTTCTGGCAGCCAAGCAGCATGGTTCATACCTATAATCCTAGCTACTCAGGAGGCTGAGACCTTAACATTATGGTTCAAAGACAGACCTGGACTTCTTTCAGACTCTCTAATTAGCCACCAAAAAGCCAGAAATAAGAGATGTGATTCAAATAGTGAAGCCTAAGCCTTCAGCAAAAAAAGTTCAGGGACTTAAAGTTCAGGCTCTTAAAGCCAAAAACCTCCAAAACAAAACAAAACAAAAAACAACCAACCTACCAACGAACCAACCAAAAAATTCACTGGTTTTCAGCCCCTAATAAAACATAAGCATGGGGCTGGGAAGGTGACTCAGTGGTAGAGCGCTTGCCTTGCATGCATGAGGCCCTGGGTTCTATTCCTCAGCACCACATAAGCAAAAAGAAAGAAGCCGGAAGTGGCGTTGTGGCTCAAGTGGTAGAGCGCTAGCCTTGAGCTGAAGAGTTGAGGGACAGCGCCCAGGCCCAGAGTTCAGGCCCCATGACCGGACACCTTCCCCCCCAAATAAGCAAAAATAATAAATAGTAGCTTATGAGAGAGAGAACATGAAATAACTATGTAGCACATCATTATCAGATAAAACTTTTTTTTTCTTTTTATAGAGAGTGAATCCAAGGTCTCAAGTGCTCTACTACTTGTGCTACACATATCCCAGCAAACCTTAAAAAAAAAACTGTTTATTTACTGAATACTTATTGGATACTACATATACAAAAAAAAGTAGAGGAAAGGGGCCTGATAAGAACTGAAGAGGAAAAATTACACTAAGCTTATTATAAATTCTAGAAGTACAAAATTTCTTCCAGTTTTACTGTATAATGAAACTTGCTTGCCAAAAGGAAAACAAGCTACATAGTCTAATAAAAATGATGCATAGCATCATGGAATTCCCCAAAATGGCTTATAAAATGTCTGTAGAGCCAGGTGTGGTAGTACACACCTATAATGCAAGCTACTACTCAAGAGGCTGAGATGTGAGGATCATGTTTGAAGCTGGCTTGGGGCAGAAGTATACAAGACTCTTATTAACCACAGAAAAGCTGTTAAGTGGAGGTTTGCTCAAGCATTAGCCTTTAATGAAAAAGCCTCGTAAGAGCATGAGGTCCTGAGTTCAAGCCCCAGTACCAGCACACATACAAAAAAACTGCTTGAATGGTATAAATAATTTAACTCCACTGGTGGTCAACTGCCTAGCTATACAGTTCCTTTTAAGAAACATCATAGCATTTGCATTAATTAAGTCCATTTCTTCATTAAAGTTCTCTGTTTTCTCATTTTTGTTGGTTGGTTGTGGAGCTTGAACTCTGCACCTGGGCGATGTCCCTCAGCTTTTCAACTCAAGGCGAGCATTTTACCACTTGAGCCACAGTGCCACTTCTGGTTTTCTGGTGGTTTATTGGATATAAGTCTTATGGACTTTCCTGCCTGGGCTGGCTTTGAACCGTGATCCTCAGATTTTCAGCCTCCTTAGTAGCTAGGATTTCAGGCATGAGCCACCAGCGCCCGGCCTGTTTTCTGTTTTATCTGGTCATCTTCATCTGGTAAGCAACTTAGTTTTCACGACTTGTTCTTAATCTTTTTTTAGGCTCGACAATTTCAAAGCTTGCTTTTTTCTTGTCAGTGTCTAATTTTTCTCTAGTTTTGCCCTCAAGTTCTACGAATGTTGTTTCATGCTCACAGGCTCCTATGTTAGCTGAGGAGATGTTATTCTATCACTTCTGCTGGCTCTTGAAATACCGTTTTATCACAGAACTCTGAAACTACTGTCTTTCCCCCCAACATTATATTGATGTCAGAGTCAAACAGCTGCTTTGTTTTTAGGTGTCAAAACTGGGGCCTGAACTTAAGAGCCTTGAGTTCTTGCTCAGCTTTACTTGCTCAAGTTTGAACTCTACCACACGAACCCTACCTCCAATCTGGCATTTTGCTGGTTAACTGAAGGTAAGAATTAATCTCAGAAATTTGTCTACCTGGGAAAGCTTCAAACTGTGACCCTGAGATCTCAGTCTCCCCCCGCCCCCCCCAGCTTTTCTGCCAGTGCTGGGACTTGAACTCAGGGCCTAGGTACTGTCCCTGAACTTCTTTTGTTCAAGGCCAGCACTCTACCATTTGAGCCATAGTGCCACTTTCGGCCTTTTCTGTTTATGTGGTACTGGGGAATCGAACTCAGGCCTTCATGCATGCTAGGCAAGCACTCTACCACTAAGCCACATTCCCAGTCCCACTTTTTTTTTTCTTAAACAAAAACAAATCCAACATTTTATATCATATTTTATTTTTGTGTGTGTTGGTACTGGGGCTTGAACTCAGGAGCTCATATTCTCACTCAGCTTCTTTACTCAAGACTTAACACTTGAGCCACACCTACACTATGGCTTTTAAAAAATAATTGTTTTATTGTTATCATAAAGGTAATGTACAGAGCGTTACAGTTCACTTATAGCTTTTTGCTGATTAACTGGAGATAAGAGTCTCCTGAAATTTTCTGCTAGAGCTGGCTTGTAATCTCCCTGGTGCCAGGGAGAGACTCTGAAACTTGAATCTGATCATGCCTCTAGATCACCAATTAACTCATCAAAAGTAGAATTATAAATGAACATGTTAAATGACATTTCTGTCCTGTGAGGAATGCAGTCCTGTACAGGATATACAACCCAATTTACTTATGTAATAAATCACAAGGAGAAAGAGAGAGAAACTTAAGACATCATGTGAGCTTTATCTGAGTTCAAACCCCAGTACAGACAAAAAATAAAAACAAGTAATGAATGAACACATTCTATTTGGGTCCTGATCTTCACAAACTGTTTTTTTTTTTTTTTTAATTTTAAAAAGATTTTTGGAGTGAATTTGAAACAAACCGGAAATTTGGTGATATTAAGGAACTGTTAGTATTTTTAGGTTGATAATGGTATTGTGGTGGATGAAATGCCAGGCTATTAGGATAATCTGCAAAGTAGTATCAAAGGAATGGAGGAGGGAATAGAATAAAACTCGCTTTAAGTTGATACTTGCTGAAGCTGGTCATGGGTTCATTATATCATTCTACTTTTGTAAATGACACTTTCTGTAATAAGAGAGAGAAGGAAGGCGGGAATGAAGATTTATAGCTAAACCTTGGTGAGTTAACCGGTTAATTAGGAGGGAGACTTTTCTGGTGTTTCTGCTTAGAGGAAAGCTCCAGCCCCGTAATTAAGGACCCTTTCTTTTTTTCCCTTGTACCCTAGTCCCAAGGAGTGAGACATACCGCAAAGATGAGTGAAATGTCAGTGGTTAGGGCCTGCACACGGTGGAAGGAAGCAATAAGAGTGATGGGAAGGAAACCATCAGCATCCATTTTCCGTCTCAGGAAGAAGTCTCGCTCTAAATTGTCCACGCTGAAGTAGTATTCACTATGTGAAGGGGAGAAGAGGTGTCACTGAGGGGCCGTTGATGCTTTCTTTGTCAGCTATCTACCCCAGCAATCTCATGGCCTTTCACCTGCAGTCCCGCAAAGGACTACACAGAAGATGGTATCCCTTTTATTACTCCCCTACTTGGGTCAAATTACTTCTGCTCAGTCCTTGGGCATGACGTGTAAACCCTTTATCCTTTAAAATCCAGACCCGATGTTGTTGACCACTTTCTCTTCTAAAACACAATTCTGCGTTACAATGATATATTTTTTCTTGGCTCTTCCTTTCAACTATGAAAGTTATTGGAGTGACTTAGAGCACAGCTTTTGCAATGAGAAAAGAAATGGACTCAAATCTCTGTTTTGTTACTTCCTACTCTGGGAAAGTTACTGGGCCTGTTTGCTTGACTATAAAATGGGGGCGAAAGACCCAGCATGTAGGAATTCTGCAGTTAGAAACTACAGGATTAAACATGATAATGCCTGTAAAGCTCTTAACCCTGAACGTGGCCAATAGTGAGGACTCAGTAAATGTTTGCTAGCATTCAGACAATGCTGTCATCACAATTGGAGCACAGAAAGGAGTAGATTCCAGTCATTTCCCCTCTGTGCTAGTGGTAGTTTCTAATTTAAGTAAATATGGTTTTATTTCTGTCACCAACAAAAATTATAAAAAGTTAGCTGGAACTAAGACAAGTTGCCTGTGATTTTTGGCAGTTGCCACCAGGGAGTACAACTACTGCTAGCATGAAAAGATCCTGTACAGCCCTTCCACTACCAGCTACGGCCTTCGGACAGCCTTTAAGATCTCATTAATGCTTAGGAAGCTTCTGGATACTCACATCTGGCGTTTGATGTAGTCTTTGAGTAACTCCTGGTCCACACTGTAAAGCTCAGTACTACTGACATTGTCAAAGTAGTAGGTGATGTTGTTCATGTACTTGGGGGTACGAGGCCCCTCAGTACCATCAAATTTTCGGTAGCCAAACTGGTAGTCAAAATGGGCTATGGGAAGAAATGGGTGTTGTAAGAGAGAGAAGACCTCTGCCCACTACCCCCTGCCACACTCCCTCAGACATCCCGGAGCCCAAAGGGGCCTCACGTACTTCGAGTGCCACCCCGTCCACGTCCCCGTCCACGACCACGCCCCCGTCCACGGCCACGGAAGGAAGCCCGCGCCCCACCAGCCCCATCACTCTTCACACTCGATGTCTCATCCTGGTCGTGCCAGGCAGGCTCCGGTTTGGTCTCTGGTTGCCAGGCTGGGGTGGGGGGGGCCACAGACACAGGCATGTAGGTGGCAGGCTCAGACCCTATAGGGAAAGGGGACACTGGGTCAGGCCTGAGGGTATCCCCACGTTCAGACCCTCCACAGTGGGCAGTACATACCTTTCATCTCCCCACGATTAGCAGATGTGTGTCTCGGCTCCTGTGGGCGAGTGGGGCGCGAGGCCAATTTCTCTCTGGGTACTTCAGGCTTCATGTCTATTTGCAATGGAACCCACTTGTGTTTGTTCCCTGGGGATGGTATGGGCACATGAGAAAGGCTTCAGAGCGGCCTAACCCACCTAATTAATCTATTTTCCTGGACTTGGGCACAAATTCCAGTTCGGGGATCCTGGGCAAATTTCTTTCCTTCATACTGGACCCCCTTTTTCATCTCTAAAATAAAAAAAGGCCAGTGGTCCTTGGTGTGATGGAGATTCCTAGTTGACTTCAATACTGATTTCTTCCGAGTCAAAAATCACCTTCTGGGGCCAGACACATGGCTGCCCAAAACAAATACTTTCTAAACTCCTAAGTTTTTTTGTTTTGTTTTTTTTTTTGGGTTGGTCATAGGGCCTGAACTCTGGGTCTGGGCGCTGTTCCTCAGCTCTTCAGCTCAAGGCAAGCACTCTACCACTTGAGCCACAGTGCCATTTCTGGCTTTTTCTGCTTATGTGGTGCTGAGGAATCAAACCCAGGGCCTCATGTATGCAAGGCAAGCACTCTACCACTGAGCCACCTTGCCAGCTCATAAGAGTTCTCTTAAAGCTCTCTCTGCTTAAGAGAGAAAGTGAGGCCCAATCTAGGTGGAGGGCCTAAAAGGAAAAGAGCTACCCTTCCTGAGCAGGAAATAGGGAGCCATCCTGAATGCTAAAAAGGCCAACACTGAAGGCAAGATGAAAGGAATTAGAATTGCTACATAAAGCCCAGCTATTCTATGAGAAGTATGCATACTTCATTTAAATCATTTATGGCACATCTTTAATAATGGGGCAGCCAAACCTGTATCCCTATCATTTTGGCAAGTTTCTAGAAACTCCTAGAGTAATATAAACCTTGTTTTTAAGAGCAGCTGATGAACGGATGCTGTCCCCCCACAGTGGCCTACAGCAACCAGCTACCCATTTCCTGGAAGAACCCTCCAGCAGCCCTCCAGAGTTGACACTTCACAGTTCTCCCAAGTCCTACTCACCTTTCTTTTTCTGTCCACCTCGCTGGCAGTCTTCATCCCCATTCTTTTCCTCTCCTGATTCGTCTGACTTGGTTTTGGGGCTCTCCTTACTATCGCTCCCCTCTCCTTTCTCCTGTTCTTTCATGTCCTTCTTTGGAGGCAGCTTACGAGTCGGCTGAGGTTTGTGGGTCTGTGGCTACAGCAAGAAGACAAATGGAGTGTGTGTGTGAAGCCACTTGGGACAGAAGGGAGGGAGGTAGTAAGTAGGAAGACAGGCACAAAAGTTCCAGCATGTGATGAGAAACTCCCTTTTCCCATGTGATTCTCTTAGAGGAAGCACAATCACACAGGCTAAGATAAACTTGTCTCTCCAGCAAACACCTGGGGCCCAATGTTACTCTCTACAACAAGGATTATTACTACTGTGTTATATTCACAGTCAGTGGGATGGAAGAAATGCTGGCCCTGGCCTGTCTGTACCATCTCTAAAATAAGGATTTCACTAATGAAGTGGCCAGTCAGCGAACAAAGGATTCAGGCCACCAGCTCAGAACAAAAGTACTGTAATGAGAACTGACCAGGCCCCTCTCTGATGGGGTCCAAGAGAGCTGTATAAGCTATAGGTCTGTTCTCAGGCTAATATCCACCTTTTTATTTCATTCAGAAATCTAAGTGCTTTGATGAAGAACTACAACACATTTAAGTTCCAATCTGCACTGAGCCAGCAAGGGCTAGTCTCATCTGTGAAAAAACTGTTATAAAAGGACCCATTTCTGAGTCACTAACAGGGTGAAAAGAGATAATAACTAGATGGGACTTGGCAGTCCCTGACACAAACACAGGGTAATTCCTAGCCATTTTACTATTGCTTCAATGTTGCCTGATTGTATTCATAACTGCTCCCCCACTTTTTTTTGGTCACGGGGCCTGAGCACTGTCCCTGAGCTCTTCAACTCAAGGCTAGTGCTCTACCACTTGCGCCACAGTGCCACTGTGCTGAGGAATTCAACCCCAGGCCTCATGCATGCAAGGCAAGCACTCTACCACTGAGCCCCCTTCCCAGCCCTCCACCCGCATTTTTTGAGATAGGTTTCACTTTGTTGCCCAGGGTCTCCAATTGCCCCCCCCCCCCCCGTTTAAAAACAACAACATAGCTAAGATCAAATGCACTAGAAGCCTCCAAATGCAAATGTGTTTACGTTGACTGAGTTCGTGTCTACCCACACTCACCTGCACACTTTTGTGGGCTATCTCTCCAGGTGTGGGCCAGTTGATTGCATCTCCAAAGTCACCAACCTGTAAGGCACATTCTATGAAGGCCCCAGGGGAATCTTGTTTCCCATCTTCAGCCCCTCACACAAGGACCATTTCTACTGAGCCGGGATGTCCATTAGCACCATCCACACACTAGAACCCAGAAAGGGCCTTCCCTGCTGTTCAGAAAAATCGAGCAGCCCAGCAGCAATCACTAACACAGGAAGAGGGTACCACCCCAGTGAGTCTACAGGGGCTGCCCAGCTGTCATCCTCACTTACCTTGCTGCCTTTGCGTTGCTTGGGAGCCGCAGCCCTTACCACCTTGGCTGGAGCAGAATGCTCTGTGGTAAGAAAGGAAAGAAGACATGACTGCAGTCTATGAGCAGAACCACCTCCAGCCAGGTCCTCCCTCACCCTTACTATTCTCATCCTATCAAACAACCTACAGGTTCTCAGAAGAGGAAGCCATAGTGGATAAAGGAAAGATGTGTGCTCAAACATCAGTAGTGATTTTGACATCTCCTTCCTGAAGGAACTATGGAAAGTGACATACAAAACCCTAAGATCAGGCGGGGCGCTGATGGCTAGGATGTAATCCTAGCTACTCAGGAGGCTGAGATCTGAGGATCACGGTTCAAAGCCAGCCCAGGCAGGAAAGTCCCTAAGACTCTTATCTCCAATTAACTACCAGTAAACTGAAGTAGCACTGTAGCTCAAGTGGTAAAGTGCTAGCCTTTAGCTGAAGAGCTCAGGGACAGCGCCCAGGCTCACCAGAGGTCAAGCCCCATGACAGACCCAAAACAACAACCACCACCACCCCTCTAAGACCCCACACTCCAAGGAGAAACCTGATGGAGTTATAAGTCCATACTCTCTGGTAGGCAATGAAGTCCATGGACCACAGAAGGTTAGGCTGAGTTTCCAACATCCTATGGTCAAATGGAATAAAGAGCCTTTCTCTTTGAGTGGATAGACTCCCATTTGACTCAAAAGCTTTACCTTTTAATATTCATTTTAACAATATAAATGAGACAAGAGATATATACAAAGATATCTAAGTGCTATTCATTACTTTAAAAACTGAAAAGTAGGTATATTCAACAATAATAAACTGGTTAAACTTAGATTTATCCATTATCTTTTTAGTAAGGATCTCTGCTGATATAAAAAGACATAAAAGAATAGCTACAAAAGAATCCATTTCTATAAAATAAGCACACACACACTCATAGTACAAACCCTGGAAGGATATAAGTATCAGGAACAAAGCATATTTACAGAAGTTTAATTTTTTTTTATTTTTTTTACAATTATAGGTTTTCTTTTTGGTGCCAGTACTGGGACTCTAACTTAGGGCCTGGGTGCTGCCCCTAAGCTTTTCCACTCAAGATTGGTGCTCTACCACCTGAGCCACACCTCCATTCCAGCTTTTTGCTGGTTTATTGGAGATAAGAGTTTCACTGAGCACCAGGCGCTGGTGGTTGGTTCACACCTGTAATGCTAGCTACTCAAGAGACAGAGATCTGAGGATCACCATTCAAAGCCAAGCAGGGCAGAAAGTCTCTCTGAGGTGCTTATCTCCAATTAACCATCCAAAAACCTTAAGTAGAGCTGTGGCTCAAAGTGGTAGAGCACTAGCCTTGAGCAAAAGGGCTTAGGGATGGCACCCAAGCTGAGTTCAAGTCCCATCACCAATAAAAAACAACAACAACAAAAAAAAAGAGTCTCACTGACTTTCCTGCTTGGGCTGGTTTCAAATTGAGATATGTAGATCTCAGCCTCCTGAGCAGGGAGGACTATAGGCATGATCCATTGGCACTTGGCAATACAGGCTTTTTGTTGTTGGTGGTGGTGGTTGTGGGGCTTGAACTCTGGGCCTGGGCACTGTCCCTCAGCTCTTCAGTCCAAGGCTAGCACTGTACCATTTGAGCCACAGTGCCACTTCTGGTTTTCTGAGTCGTTTATTGGAAATAAGTCTCTCGGACTTTTCTGCCCTGGCTGGCTTTGAACTGCAATCCTCAGATCTCAGCCTCCTGAGTAGCTAGGATTACAGGTGTAAGCCACCAGCACCTGGCCAGGCTTTTAGCTTAGGAGAAAGAAAAAAAAAAAAAGCAAACGTTTTACCAAGCAGGTCTGAAAAATTAAATTTACTAGCACGAAGTTGTACGCAAAGCTTTTCAAATCATTGGCCTTTTTTATTTCTTTTTAACTGAAATTTCTTTCAGGCCAGGTGTCAGGAATCCTAGTTACTTGGGAGGCTGAGCTCTGAGAATTATGTGATTGAAGCCAGCCCAGGCAGGAGTGAGAGTCTTTTTTTTTTTTTTGCGGGGCGGTGGGGGGGGGGGGGAGGGGGGGGAAGGGTCTGGTCGTGGGGCCTGAACTCTGGGCCTGGGTGCTGTCCCTCAGCTCTTCAGCTCAAGGCTAGCCCTCTACCATTTGAGCCACAGCGCCACTTCCGGCTTTTTTCTTTTTGCTTATGTGGTGCTGAGGAATCGAACCCAGGGCCTCAGGCATGCAAGGCAAGAACTCTACTACTGAGCCACCTTCCCAGCCCCAGGAGTGAGTCTTCTCTCCAATAAACTAGCAAAAAGCCAGAAATGAAGCTGTGGGGCAAGTGGTAGAGTGCAAGCCTTGAGCAGAAAAGCTAAGGGACAACACCAAGCCTTGAGTTCAAGCCTTAGTACCAGCACAAAGGTACACACAACAAAACTAAAACTTTTCAAAACTGAGAAGGGTCAGATATTGTGAAAACTCCATCTAACATTTTGTTCTTCAGACATGAAAATGGAAATGGTGAAGTATTCAATCTCTGATCAGTGCAAGGAAGCCTGCCTGCCATTCCCTAATTCCAGCATTAGTCCTAAGCAGGGCAATGTGGCTAGTCTGTATATATTCTTTAATTAGTCCAAAAGAAGATTTTTTTAAAGCTCATACCCTAAGGTCCCTATGTGCCAAGATCCCATGGGGCTGCTCTATTCTTGCTCTCTTTCTAGAATCTCAGGATGCTCCAGGCAAGGTAAACAAAGTCCCTTGAGTGGCAGAAAAATCTATTAAAACCCATAAGAAGGCCGGGCGCTCATGGTCATGCCTGAAATCTTACTCAGGAGGCTGAAATCTGAGGATCATGGTTCAAAGGCAGATCAGCAGGAAATCTGTGAAATTCTTACATCCAATTAACTAGCAAAAAAAGCCAGAAGTGGAGCTGTGGGTCAAGTGGTAGAGTGCTAGCCTTGAGCAAGAAAGCTCAAGGACAGTGCCCAGGCCCTGAGTTCTATCCCCAGCATTAGCACAAAAGACAAATAAACATAGGGAGCCTCTGGGGAACTCAGGAAGGCTGTGATGAACTGCTATCAGCACTGCAGGAGCTACAAAAAAGACAAGGCTTCTGACTTAATCACACATCACTCTGTGCTCCTTCTCAGCCCCCTACCGTGTGGCATGTGTGCACATGCGTGTGCCACACTGGGGGGGGGAGGCAAGTAAAAAGGAATACAGGTTTGGCATCTGAAACTTAATGAAAGCTAATTTCTGTGTACGCACCAATCCCTATGTTGAGCATCCAACCAAATTATAGGTAAGTCCCTTCCTCCCACCTCTGTATTCTGAAACCTGTATCTGCCAGCACCGATCCAATCCAGCTCAGGAAACACTGTCCATTTGCCTCCCTCACCTCAAACAGCTAAGAATGTTAGAGCAGTAAACATAAGTACTGTTTCATAGACAGGAAAATGAGGCTGCAAATGAGGAAGGGTCTTCCTTGGGACTGGCTCCAAGAGCCAGGATAGGAGCCAGAAGCCTCCAATCCCTTCCCAATGCTCCTACCAGTTCATCAGTATGAATTCCACAGGGCTGAGTAGTTCCCATGCACCTGTTGGAGGTTGGAATGGGTCGAAAACCTTTATAATTTTAGGGCACTGTCTTGCTTTTTCCAATTAGTTACAAAGTATAGAATCAGGCCAACACAGGGCCCAGGATTCCAGGGGAAGGATGGCAGATACAGGTCCTACAAGGGTAGGACCGAAAAGTGCTTTCTGTCTCACAGGACAATTGTTAGCTAAGAGCCAGTACTGACTCTAGCTCTAGGGGGCCAAAGGACTTCCCAAACACACACATGCATTTGCTAAAAGTGAGGCATATCAGCCAGGCACTGGTGGCTCATGCCTGTAATCTTCACTACTCAGGAGGCTGAAATCTGAGGATGGCAGTTTGAAGACAACCCAGTCAGGAAAGTCTGTGAGACTCATCTCCAACTAACTAGCAAAAAAGCTGGAGCTGGAGTTATGCCTTAGCATAAATGCTCAGGGATAGGGCCCCCCACTCAGTGGTACCCCAACCCATTAAAAATAAAAAAGTGTAGCATATGAGAATTTCTATGTGAAGTGGCTTGAGTTTGGAGGAGGTGGGGGCTTTTTCCTGAGGCTATACCTACATGGGAAGATTATTTTCACTTAGGTTACTGTTATGTAGCAAGGAATAGGAGCTAATCCACCCCTGCTGCTGGGGTAAGAAAGGGGAAAATAAGGACAGAAGGTCCATACTGACGTATGGCAGGGAAGAGTGATGATTCGGATAGTGGGAAAAGGATGTTGCCCATATAAGGAAGCTGACTACACAGCCTTAACCATCCCAAGACCATCTCTCAGAGCCTTTCAAGTGTGTAACACCCCTTTCTTCCAACATTCTGAAGGAAAGCCAGAAGGGCCACAATGACACACTTCACTATGGCCTTGGGTTGTAGTCCCTACATATTCTGTCCCTTGCAGAACCCCTTGAAATTTAGGTCTCTGTAAAAATGGACATTACCTTGTAGATCTGCTGGGACACTGAAAGAGAGCCCACTCAGTAAGAGTGCCTATGCACACTTGGAATGCTCAACACATCCTAAGCATTACAATTCCAATTCACAAAAGAAGCTTAGTATTTCCAAGTATGCTTCATGCTGGGAGGGACAACAGATTAACAACCTTTCAACCTGAGAGAAAATAGAAGACAGTTGAAAAATAAGGACCAGGAATCAACTGGCTCCATTCTTCCAATTCAGACCACAAATGAGGTCCTTCACAGGTTGCCCTCCAGACAGAAGATGGCTAGACTCCAGGGCCAATGTCCCCCAGGAAAAAAGAAAATGTCAGGACTCTGTTGTTTGAAATGGGGAAAGAGGAGGGAATTTACCATAGTGCTCCCTCTCCCCCAGGGAAGCATTGGCATAAAGTTCTGGTTTGCTAGAGAGGAAAGAATATAGGGAAATCCTAGTGCTTCCTTCCAGTTGAAAATCATTCATTTTTCTTACTCAGCTAAAAAGAGGGCATAAGCCACATTGCAGTATCTCCAGCTTACTAAA